AATGTTCACCTGTACCGTAGTATCGTTTTCGAAGCGGGAAGCTCAAAAAACCGCAAATTTCTTACGCAGATTGTGAAGTTATGAGTGCATTTCAGACTTTGCCGATGCGCTCATCGTGACTTTTGAGGCATTATCTGTAGGAAACAACTCTTAGTTTTGCTCTAGCAAAAGTTTGCAACAGGCCCATTTATCTTCAGAAAGAATGGAAAATCTCTTGAAAAATGTCTCTGACTACAGACCTTTCTCTTGCATCCAGTTTGAGATAAAGGCCACTATCTGAGGGGAAAAGGGACCTTAAGCATGGAGGCAAATTTTTTTCAGACAGCAATATTTTCTCGAGTTGCGTTGAAAAATGAGAATTCAAGTTTCCAATGTAAAAAATGGCTATTTTACATGGATGTAAATGGGGAAAAGTTCTAATATTTCAGCACTATCTGACAACAAAAATTGCCAGATAGAGCGATACAATGTGAATATTTTACATGGATTTAAATGGGGAAAAATTAACATTATCTGCAACACCTACCTATCCCTACTTGAGGAGCGACGATACCGATCCCTGTCAAATCTGCCTCTATCTCTGCCATGATCCCTTCCTTTCTTGTCCCTGTCTCTGTCGCGACCCCCTCTATCTCTATCTCTGTCTCTGTCCCGTAGTCGCTCTTTCTCTCGAGCTTCTCTCTCACGTTCGCGGTCCTTCTCTCGTATCTCTCGCTCCCGTTGGATATCCCTGTCTCGTTCGCGATCTCTGATTTCTTTATCGCGGGCTTCCTTCTCGCGATCCCTTGCTCTGCTGTCTTGACCTGAAACAAAAAAAATATCGTGACGGATTCGGAAAAATTTAGGATTACTTCATAAGATAAGTTTGAGTTTGAACAGTCTGATTATTATGACACAAGTTGAAAAAGCTGACTGGATTACGTTTCGCAATTCGGAACTACAATTTCTGGCTCCGTTAGAAAAAATGTATGAACCATTAGTTTCCCTATCCAAGTAAGTAAGTGTTTTAATGGATGAGCCAGAAATCGCAGTACCTCATTGCAAAATGAAGTTCAAAAGTTGGAGAAAATTCACAAGAAAATTTGTTTAACTTTTTCAAGTTAGCTTTAAAAATTTTAAATAAAAAAAAAAATCTTCCTTTCCCTTACCCACTGAGCGATGAAAAGCTTGCCAAAAAACTTCTTCCCCCTGACTGACTGTGCGACGAACAGTTTGTCCAAAAACTTTCTGCCCCTGACCCACTAATCGGCTCCCTTCATGCCTCAAGCTCGCCATTTTCAAACAGCTTCGCCGATTTTGCTCGAATTCAATACCAAACCAGTCCTGGGGAAAAACTACTACCCATAAAAATCTCAGCTCAAAATATTCATTTTGACTCGAGTTATCGAGTCCCACCCCTCAAAATCTATTGCCTTAAATTTTAATTTTTATTTGGGAGGATAGTAGCTCTAATGAGGCTCTACAGAATGCAAAAAAATTGGTCAAAATATCTTGCAACGTAAGAAAGATATGACTACTCAAAAATCGGCCGAAATACATACATATGTACATAATACTTAATTAAGAAAGTCTCCCCTCCGACTTGCCCCTCTTGTAATGTCCCCGTCTCAGTCAGATAAGTTTTAATATCTTGTCCTATCTACGAGCAACTAAGATCCAAAACTTTCCCCATTCTTTCTGATCCCAATACAATACTTTCAAAATTTTCTCATAAAATCCCTCCCTTTTTCAAACGACTTAATCTCCAAATTTAATTTATTTATTCTTTGTCCTTTCTTTCGATTTTTGTACTTCAATTTTGGTGATCTCTGATGTAGGTGTTAATGGCCCAGCTTTGCTAAAACATCTACATATAAATAAGTGTATAAAACAACAACATACAGTTATATAACTACACATGAATTTGAATGACATATATTTTTGTGATCTACAACCTGGCGCTCTTCACAAGATCTCAGGTCTGGGTTCAACTAGAGTCCCTTTATGCTGAGAGTCAAGACAATTCGGCTCATGGATGTCACAAACGGGAATAAAGATTACAGAAATTGAACGTTTTTCGTAATCTTTGATCGGCCCATTCTCAAATGCCTTTCTCCGTTCCTCCTCTCATTCCGTTTGTTCCTTGCCGAACCCGTAATTCCCTGGTCCATTCCAGATTATAATCTTTGCAATTGGTGAAAATGTAATCTTTATTCCCGTTTGTGACGCTGTAGAGGCCTAAAATACGGGAACCAATCAGAAATGGAGTCAAATTGTCTTGGCTCTCAGTATAAAGGGACTCTAGGTTCAACATCATGGGAGAATACAATAAAAAGTTCAGTTGTGCACAAGAGATACAGCCTCCTTAGCGAATTAGTAACAGGTCAAAAAATAGTCTAAAATCTAAAATCCATCGTTTAAGCATAATTTGAGGATAAAAAGTCACACATCGTCAAATTTTTATCCTCATTAGGCACTTCTTACTACACTACCAGCCATCAAATTTACCTTGAAAGAGATTTGAAAAGACTTAATGCTTGTAGTTATTTTCCCCCCTTTTTTTTATGTGTTTTGTTTTTGAGACTCATACTGTGCCACTTTGTTTTTGCTGTCTGTTATATTTGTTATTAGGACTATACTCCCATAGAAACGTAAAGAAATAAAGTAAGTTAAGATAAGATGGAAATGCATCGTGGAGAAACGTTCTTTACAGATCCCACCTGAGCATGAAATTTTGCTTGTGGGTCCTTATCGGGAAGTTCTAGAAATCCTTCAAAATTACATACGAAAGGTTAGAAACCATGACAAATAGTATCCAAAAACTATTGTGTTGAAGATTACCTAATAAAATTTTAAACAGATCTCAATTTTTATTCTATTTTTGAATTGATATACTATTTTCTTTTAAGAAAAATCTAAATTTCCACAGGTGTATCCCAAGTTCACAAAAGGGCATGGCTCTTTAAGGGGCCTCATTTTCGAATTTCCCCCCTCACTATGAGCCATGCTACAACATCTCTCAATCTTTTACGATTTCCTCTTTTTAAGCTTTCGAGTTTGGGTGAAAGCTCCTAACCTCCTCTCATTTATCAACATCATTTAAATGTGTACTGATAATTCGGACTACATTTTGCAGTAAAGAACTACTATTTCTGGCTCATCAGAGTACCCATACTTATGCCATCAGATTTCTTATGCCGATAGGTGATTTTGTAGATGGGTCAGGAAAAATAGTGATTCGTCGAAGTCCATTTCTCAGTGCCATACCAATGTGTAGAATTTTTTTCGTACGTGCCGTACGAATGCCAGTAATGTTATTCAGAAGCACAAAAAAAATAAACTTAGTACATTTGTCAGTACTTAGTTAATCGTACAGTCATTTAGAAATTATGAGTTTTGATCCTTGAGTTTTAACCCTGCCTACAGGTACAACTGAGTGTTGAAGTTGATAGACAAAGCGATAAAAAGGAACAAGGAGAAATGGAGCAATCCTTTTGGTTAAAATGGGTGGTTCTTACAGACTAAGGGAGAAATTGATGGATTAACTGTAGGATCTCTCATGGGTTGCTGTTAGTTAGGCTTTTACTTATCTCCTCTGTCCATCGCAACCGCCTGCTTCTACCAGTAGGATTGCTCCATTTTCCTTTTGTTTTTTGTGTCTATTGCTTCGTCTACCAATTTTAATAATGAGCCTGCTGGAAAGAGACTACTGTCAAGATTCTCTGAGAATTCTTTTAGGATTTAAAAGTAAGTTTGTTAAATTGCAGGACAAAGGGTACAAAAGCTGCAAAATAACAAAAATTGAAACACAAAGAAGACTACTGTGAAATACTCACTGAGCTGCGATCGGCTTCTACTTCTTTTGTGGGTAGAATCCGAGCGATGCCTTTCACGCTCTCTCCTCTTCGCGTCTTCATCTTGTCTGCGCCGCACTTCCTCTCGTTTCTTCCGTTCTTCCTCACGTCTACGTTCTTCCTCCCTCCTCTGAGCCTCTCTTTTCGCCCATCGCTCTTCTTCCTCCTTACGCCTGATCCTATCTCTTTCCCTCTCCCGTTCTCTGTCTCCATGACCTATTTTGGAATCACCCGGTTTCCTTTTCTTCCTTCCATCGACATCTTGGCTCCTGTTGGGAGAAAAAATTTAAATGATTAAATCCGCGATGACACTTATGAAGAAAACAGGGATCATGGACAACATGAGTAGAAAAAGTATGGTGAAATGAAACCTTGTGAACTTCTAAAAAAAAAACAAGTTGAAAAAGTGTCGTGCTTGCATGGAGCTATAGTTCCTCTTTCTAAAAATTTAAAGTCAGCAGAAATATTTTTATACCTAGGCAAAAATTTGAGATAATGTTTGTTTTCTGCCTGAGATCTCAAGCAAAGATAGAGCTACAAACCTGTTTCTCACGGTTCCAGTACCAAGTTACCTGATTCCTCAGGGATGCAGAGAGTTCTTGATTTTCAAAGTGACGACAACCCCCCTCCCACTTTCTCCGATGACCTACTCTTTTTTGCGGCTTTCTCATATTCAAGAAGGAGGAAAGTGTTGAGAAAGGAAAATATGAAGTAGAAACGAAGAGAAAGGAAATGAAAAAATAAGGACGAGATTTTAAGAAAGGAGAAATGCTTATCACATGTTGCAACATGTTGTGACTTTTTTCCGCTTGTTGTTGGCTTTTTTTTCTAATTTTTATTATATCAAGGATCAAAAATATTGATTGTGATACCTTTGGTTAGAGAGCATAAGCTTTTACCTATCTAAAAGAAATACGGATGCTACAAAGCGACCAAAATCACCGGTTAAAATTTAGAAAGTACTTACGGACTTCTCTTCCGCCTTTTCCTTGATGATTTATCGTCCGAGTCGTCATCTACGAGGTTAATAATATCAGTTTTGGCATTGAGATTGTCGTTATTCCCTTTGTTGATGTCACTCTCTTTGTCACTTTCTGAGTCATAAGCTCCTAAACGTGCTTGAAGCAAGGCCTGTGTAATAAGAAGACAAACAATTTAGGAGAAATAATTCAATTAAAAAACAGAAAAAATCGCAAGCAAGTTTTGATGAACTATTAAATGGGTCTGTGTTGAACTTAATTTGGAAGGAAAAGTAAACGCTGGTGACACTACCAGATCAAAAATCTTGAATGCAGTGTTTCAAAATTTCTGCGCCTCTTTCTTTGTCCTGGAGGATTATTACAGCATAAGTACTTTCGCAATTAATTTTTGGAGACTCTTCCAAGAAAGCAAAAAAAAAAAAATGACACCAAGATTTCTCTTAGACTGATGATCTTTTAACTGCCAAAAGGGTAATATGTAACAAGAAATTTACGACATAGCAAGCGGAGACACACTTGAGTTCCAATTTCACTTTGAGTTTCGAATAGCAACATTAAAATTCATGATGCTAAAAACGAACACAATTTTGATGATAGGTAATTATTTTTTATTCATTAACATTTTAGTGCAGATGTTACTCAAATTTAATAACAGAAAGGAACCAAGTCACATCAGCTATTGCCAATTTTAACTAGGCAATTTAATTTTTTACGAGAAAACGTTTGTGCAGATCCCTTTGAAAATTTTAAGGAATTAGCTTCGTACTGTGGAAAAAATTCACTGAAATTTGCACGAAGATCCGCACAACTGTTTTCATGTAAAACATTAAATTAGCCAATTCAATTTGGCAATAGCTGATGTGGCTTGGTTCCTTTCTGGTTGAGGCAGTCCATATGATTCTTCAAACATTGCCATATTTTCTTTAATAAACAACGAATTCAATGTAAAAATTGGGATTATTTTTTCTCAAATTTTTCAGACAATTTTATCCGCAGTTTGATCAAAAACAACTGAAAATTTAAAAGACAAATATACAGGTTTTATCCAGGGAAATTTGGCAACTTTCGAATGTTCACACGGCATTCTTCTTGAGCAAGGCAAAAATCAAAACACAATAAATAGCCTTGTAAGCTTGTTGAAGAACAAACCTTTTGGCGCATCAAGTCCTCCAGATTGATATCTTCATCGATTTGGTCAACGTCGATACCATCAGAGTCCAAATCGATAACTTTCTTCTCAACTGAGGCTTCGAGGTCTACAAAGACAGGCTTGGCGTTGGCAGGGATTTTACCTCCATTCATGACAGTTCCATCCTTCCCTGATTTCTTCCCGTTTTTAAGCTCAGCAGCAGCCTCTCCATTCACTTTGGCATCCTTCTTGTGCTTGTGCTTTTTCTTGTGTTTCCTGAAAGGTTGCCACATCATGGAATAATAGTGGATATTTTACATGGATTTAAAAAGTGCTGATCTTTCAGCACTAGTTGACAATGATGAAGATTAAAAATTGTGGTTTTTTCTTCTGTTTCCTGAAAGATTGCCGGATTGAGAGATGAAAAGTGAATATTTAACATGGATTTAAAAAGTGCTGATCTTTCAGCACTAATTGACAATGATGAAGATCAAAAATTGTGGTTTTTTCTTCTGTTTCCTGAAAGATTGCCGGATTGTGAGATCAAAAGTGAATATTTTACATGGGTTTAAATCACCGTCTGGCAGCATTGGAAGAACGAATTCAAAGCAATGAACCACTAGACAGGGTAAAGAATAAAAAACTGCTACACCGAATGCTTCCTTATCAAAATTTGGCACAGAACATGCTGAACATATTAATAATTCCATAAATTGACTTACAAGAGAGAAATAAATTCATAGTTTGCATTCAACGCTTGAAAATTTCTGAAAATAAAGAGCAAAAAAATTTGCTGATCTCTGATAGAATTTGTCGTTGACGGAGCTATAAAGGAATAACAAAAAATTTGAGGAGTTTCTTACTTTTCATGTTTCTCCGAGGAATGTTTCTTGTGTTTGTGGTGCTTATGCTTTTTCTTTTTCTTCTTTTTTGAAGCATCTACAGTCTTGACTTCCTCTGTTTCTGACAGTTCAATTGAATCTTCCGACTCGGAGAGTTCTATGTCAGAACTCCTGTTAACAAAGATTCGAAAACATGCATTACAGACTATGTGGGATTGTGTGTTACATTACGCAGTAAGGGACTACTATTTCCTGCTTTATTTTTAAAAGCACCTATCTGCATGGGGAAACAAACAGTACACATGTTCTTTCCGTGATGAAGCAGATATAGTGGTTCCTTACTGCAAAACGCAGTCCATTTTGAAAGGGATGAAAAAACCAATCAAAAGAGCTGCAGATAATTGATTAATTGGACCTCATTATGCAATTTGGAACTATCTGCGCCATATTTTAGAAAAAACCTAGCTTAGCAAATGTATGTGTGTTTGACCTCAAACCTCAAAATCAAGCAGCAGGCTGATTATTGAAAATGATAGACAAAGAAAATGCCAAGAAAATGGAGGGACCCTAATAGTTGAAACAAGTGGTTCTTATGGACCGAGAGAGAAAATTATGGACTAACACTACGGTCTCTCATGGGTCTTATGTACCTCCTTTGACAACCTCTCTTCAACTAATGGGACCGTCCTGTTGGGCTCTGTCATTAGCCCGTGTCCCACTATCAAATGAACTCCTCAAATGCAAGATGGCGATTGTTCATCGACATTTGACGGTCCGCTTGCTTTTGGTAGCAGACTTGCGTGAAAACCAGTACGTATCTCTGCCATCTTCCATTTGATGAGTTCATTTGTTAGTGGCACGCGGGCTTAAAAGTTTTGATTATCAGCCCACAGAATAAGAAAAAGAAGAGATGCAATTCACAACCTTCCTTACATTGCCAAACTTGACACTTGCGCCTAGCACAAAAGGGCCTTTCTTTTTATCCGTGGAACGCATGGAACCTGATGGATTGGGATCTTTGCAGTTAGGACCAGTTCATCCGGCCTAATGGCAGCCTCAACCCATCTCGAAGAGCAGTCCAAGCGTTCTACTGGAACGCAAAAGTGGAACAGGATAAAAAAGTGGAACAGGATAAAAAAGTGATGCATTCCGTAGCGGTCCTCTTTGGTTCAGATAAAACAAACTCTAAAGTGGTGCACTCTTCCTGCTTCATTAATACTCTTATTCAAGGTTATAAATTGAACGAAAGTCTACAGTTTTTATTACGGATGTTATCTACTGAATTCAGAACAATTAAAACTAAATGTCATAAAAAATGGCACATGTATTACTTTTACAGAAGAGGGTAAAGGAGCATAGATCCGGACACAGATGCAGGGTTTTAACTGGAGTGTAAACAGATGCCTGCCTGCTTACACATATGCTGGTTGCAATATCTGTCCATGAAGAGAAGAAGGGTGGGTAAATTTATTTCAAGCTGGGTCTAACCCATTTACTTCTCAAAATCCCAAGGAATAGCCCGAAGATCATGCCAAAGAAAGGAATAATAACATGTAGATCAGAAATTCTATGTGAGTGAGCGTGTGTTACATTTTGGCATGACAGTCCACAGAAAAACTCACACTCACATCCCAAAAGAAACTACAAATTTTCAGGATTTACATGAAAAACAGCAGACTCGTCTAAAACAGGATCTAACCTGTTACTTAGGTTAGACTAATGATCAACCTGCAGACTAAGCTGCGGACAGAGATGATGAATAGTACGACACCATCCTTAAGTGAGTAGACTGAAGTATATCTTTTCGCAAAAGCTTTCAGAACAAGGCTCTTTTCAGCGGCATGGTCCGTTGAAAAACCCATCCATTAAGAGGCGGAATCATCTTGATTAGACGCTCAGAGGGAGGTTGTCGACCCAGATTGAGGAGAGAAAAATATACAACCAAATTGATAAGCGGTAAGATTACTGGTAGGAAACAAATCCAAACGTTACTTACCCCATGATGAAACCGCAGGAGATGTGGAGAAAGAGGCCAGGCGCCAGTGGCCGGATTCAGAGAGTCCACATAGCCGGTGCCCGCACGTATCGACACGCACTTCTCACGCAGTTATCACTTATCGGCACGAATTCCCAGCAGAAAAATAGAAATAATTAATGAGGATATATCGGGATTGGTGTGGTTGATGTGGTAACCAAGTAAGTGCAGTCTACCAGAAAATTGGTTAAAATTTGTGGGAACGGGAAGTCGGGGTTCGGGGACCATCAGTGGCGGGGAAGGGAAAAGTTCTAGTCCACTGATGAATCGTCGATTAGCGACTGCCGCAAGCGTAATGACGTCATTCAATCAAAGCAGAAATGTTGCCAAGAGAGACACGATGTTAACGTAAGCTCAAAATTATCTTATTCTCTCAGATTAAGTCCAAATAATTTGTGTGAGGAATCAAAATTAAACTTTTGATAATTTTTTATCATAAATTTTTCTCTGAACTGGCACAGAAAAGCGTCTCAGTGTGCTGATTCAGTTACGTCAATGAGTAATCAGAGATCTGGCAGCATTGTACAAGTACAACGCTCAGATGGTCCGATGCAATACCCCCTAGACTGACCATACCTAAACATTCGGAACTCATCTGTGAGTGTGTGAGTGCATCAGGTTGTGAGTTTTTACACAGGACCTTATGGGACGAAGTGAATAAGTGAAATTAAGAGCAACATGAGATGACTGGTGGCCTTAAGTGATCGTTTCTTGGAAGTATAATATTCGTGGAACATCTATACCAAAAATTTGCCACTGAATCACTTTCCTGGCAGAGAATTTAAAACATTCAAGTGGATAACCACATCCCCCTCCCCTCCTCCCCATTCCCTTGACGGATGCAGTCCCTATGTAGTATGTACTTCCACTATTAAAATTTTTTTTTTTTCCACCCAGAAACAGATTCCGCCGCCGAAGTTAAATGTATTCAAGGCCTTCATACTTGAAGTTTAAGGGAAAAAATTCTTGCCCCGTCAAATTTTACTCTTAGGAGACAAAAATAGCTTTTATCAGGTTTTCCCCATAAGAGCCGTGTAAAACGTTACAACCAGATGTATTTTAACCTCAAAGCAATGTTTAGGTATGGTCAGTCTAGGGGGTATTGTCCGATGATCTTTTGATGATGCCCGCTGGGTAATTTGTTTACGTTCTGCGTTGTAGCTGTAGCTTTTCTCGGAATCTGTTCCCTTAGGAATTTGAAATTGATTTGAAGATTAGATGGTATTGATTTGAAGCATAGTATGTTTTGGTTTCGTTTCGTTTAGCTTCACGAGGATTATCATTTCAATTTTTAATGTAACTCTGAAGTTTTCATCTGTGTCTAACCCATGGATGTAAGATAATCAACTGTGGCAGAAGCTACCTCGACAAGGCAACTTTATATTACCACATTTAACAGGTCAGTTGCTGAGATTTTCATTTGATTTCAAAGGCATCCTCTCAATACGGTTCTAACTGTGATCCTCTGAGCCTGAGTATCATTGCCAAGATAGCTGTGTGGTGCCTTCGAAGCATGGAGTCCGAAACCCCACCGCCAGCTGTCATCTGCGGCCCGATTATTGGAACTATGTCGGCCCGACATAACAAGACAAAGCCCTATATTAGAGTACCTGTATAGCTAGAGTATGGACAGATGTGAAACTCTGAAAGTCCATCAGGCCTTCACCGATGCTTCTGCGAATAAAGTTAGGGCCCAGAAATGCAGCCAACCTATGAATTTCAATTATCCAGAACGATTTACTAATACTATTGTTACAAACCGTCGTTTATTAAGCACGTGTTTGACTCAGTTTTTGCATAAATTTACTCAATTTTGCGGAAGAACGCTCATTTATGTACATTCTTGGCCATCTTGGTCAGAATTGGAACCTGCAGACTGGCAGTGAAATTTTGTGCGTTAGAAGTTGGTTAGAAGGGTGGCTGCACTTTTGGGCCCTAAGCCCTCCATGAAGCGATCTGTCCATACTCTCGCTATACAGGTACTCTACCCTATATTAACCGTGCAATATATCGTAATTTGATGTCCTTTCGGGCTGCGTCAAACTTTCAATAATTGGCCCGCTGATGTAACGCAGACCTTTTCCCTCAAAGTCCTTGTATCCGATACCTTGTAGAAAGAGATGTATCTTTCAACCTTTCCAGGTGGTATTGGGGTGTCCCATTGGTAAATTTAATCTTCATAACTGGCAATGTTTCCAGAGAAAATAAGTGCGGGACATCCACTTTTTAATACTGTAACTGTCACTTCTACCCAGTGCTTAAGCCACGGCGGAGGGGCTAAGATCAGAGGTGACTTTCTTTTTAACTGTGCCGTGTGACTGGTTGGTCGTGTTTGATATTGTGCTGAAGGTGACCACGAAGGAAGGTTCAAACCCTCCACTCTGGGTAAACACTGTCAAGAATATGGCTTCTTTAGAGCTGATTAATTTTTTCTGTTTTTCAGATTGAAATCGATCAAGCTTACGATGGACGAAGGTGCTGCCTCTCTATCGAGCAGCTTGTTCTCTTCCGCCCAGTTCAATCAGGTACTTAAATACCAGAAGTCAATATGAGTAGGATTGAATTGAAAATCCGTTGATGTTGAAGTTGTTTAAATCTATCCTCCAAGCAGAGTACTTCAGGCAGCGGAACTTGTTCAATTGGATTAAAAAGAACTATATACATTGAAACATGAGCCCTTTCATGCATGTATTCTTATAGATCCCAGGGCTTATATTAGAATGGATCCATTTCCTTTTGATTTAATTATGTCCAATTTGACCCTGAAAAAAACTGAGAAATGTATGAAGGAGGAAAACTGCTTGTGATTAATTTTGTTTAATGTAAGCTAATTACCAACTCAGAAAAATCGAATTTTTGAAGGAACACCTGCGCAGTATTTTGATGACATCTATTGTCAAGGAACTGCCACTTCTAGCTCATTTTAGAAGCAGTACATATGTTGTAAGTTTTCCTATGCAGACAAGTGCTTTCATGGAAAAGCCAGAAGTAGTTGTCCCTCATTGCAAAGTTTAATCCAATTAATGTTAAATAGGAAGTTTCCAGGGTAGAAAACATGGTCTTGCAGAAAAGCTGTGCAGAATTCCAAATGGACCGTAGTCTTTGTACTCTGATTTATAAAAATGAAGAAAATATAAGAGGAAAAAGAGCAAGTGAAAGGAGAGAAAAATCCAGTGAAGGAGAAAAAGGATGAAAAAGATACAAATTTTATGTTCTCTTTTCTTCTTCCCATCATTATTTTCCCTTCTTTTCCTCTCTCTCCCCTTATTTTTCTTCTTCTCATGAAGGAAAAGATTCCTCCCTCCTTTTTCTCCTGATTTATCAATTTGACATGTATCGTATGAGGAGTAGCAGGGTTCGGGCCTGTCAGGCCAAAGTAAAATACAATTAATTCCCATATTCTTGTCGAAACTCCAACACAGCTTTGATTAGAATATAACAAATGAATCAATCTGCCCACAGGTGGTTTTTCACAACTTGGTAGATTGCTACCCGGGTGGGAGCAATCTCGAGTGCACTTACTCACTCCATGGAGAGATCCAGCACTCTGAGAAGGATCAAGTTGGTGTGTTCCAAGTTGGATGGCAAAGCATCAGTGACGCTCACCTCTTGAAGCCTGCACCGAAACCATCAGAGCCAATCTGGTTCAATGGTATAGTATAATTTTAATATACTTTTTTTTGCGAAAATGCTCTTAACAAAGGGCCATCAGACAAAGTGCGAATCGAAGTAAAGCTATACATGTTTTCTCATCAAAATTTTATGTAGATTAAGATTTGTACAAAAAAAATTACCCAAAACAACCCCTAACGAAGGTATCACAATTTTCAGTGCATAAATTCAAACTTCTCGCCCATAGAAAAATAAATATTACTGTGACAGTCTTTGCAGTTTAAAAATATAACAATCTCATTTTCGGCGCTTTGGCTCAGCTGTTGCATGTCGTTAAAATGTTAAAAGATGCAGGATGAAAAAGGCACACTGCTTATTGGGGACTTGGGGAGCCCGTCGAAACGGATGTTGTGCATGATTTGGCTCAAGTAGGCTTTTGGTTTTCTTGTTAGTGGGGGATTCAAATGTTTCTTAACCAATGCTCTTGAAATAAAAACGTTTATCTCTTGGTTGAAAGTTAATTTTAGTAATTTTCATTGCGCAATTCGAGTGAAGGCCGATTTTGGTGAAAAATGCGGATTCTCTGGCATTTGCGAAGCCGGCATTATTTGGTCCTCAGTATTAGACCTGAAAAGAGACTAACAATGATAAAATCACGATGCTTCGAGTAGGCAAAATACAGACCTTAAAAAAGCAAAAATCGTTAAGTTGAGAAAATTCAGGATGGGCCCAAAAACGGCTCTTCTTTGTATCTGCTGGTGCCAAATTTTTCGGTATTCTAGGCATAGCCCTTTTAATATTATTTTCAAGGATGGCTATTCTTAGGTTCTTGGATTCCTCTTGTGCGAGAGAATTATTTCCTTGATCTTTGCACATTGACATTGACATTGACATTGACATTGTTGAGGAGGTTTCTAATTCTCTGTCTTTAGATTATGTAATTCAAGTCTTGTGAGTCTGATAGGTGGTTTTTTTCCCTACAGGACATTTGCTCCCCAAAGATGGAAAAATGTACCAACTCTGCTACGTTACAGAGCAAGGCATGATAGCCGGTGCATCTGTTCCTTTCTTCTTCCAATCGCCGGACGATAGCGAATGGGTGGCAGTTGAGAATTCTGATGATGATTTTGTCACTGTTGAACGTAATTTCTCCGCAATGCAGACAAATAATGCCAGGGTAAACTCACTTTTCCACTAAACTCCATTTTTTCATGAGGAATCACAATTCCTGGCTCATTTCAAAACTAATGTATACCGCCAAAGTTGCCAGATAGTCTTAAAAAATTAGCAGCTTCCCCCATTTAAACTCATGTAAAACATCCACACTTAATCGAACGACTTGACATAGTGTTGAAAAATCAGCTCTTCCCCCCGTTTAAACCGATGTGAAATAACATCTCAAGTTGATCGTTTTGAGAGAAACCTTTGTGAAGTTTTGAAAAAACAGAATAATTGCATTATCCCATGTGTCACAAAATGTTGCATAACTTATTCATTAACGATCAGATTTTAAGAACCTGGTCTTTAGTTGTTGCTGAGGATACGTAAAATTCGATTAGGAAAAAAGACTGAAGAAAATTTATTTTAAAATAAAAATGACGTAAGATTCCCCTCTAAAAAAATGTCACGACCTTTTATCCAAAACCTAATAATGTATTATTTTATTTGCCCACAGTTGACTCTCGAAAATCAACAGCTGAAAGATGAATTAATACGGACCAGAAATAAGCTGACCAGATTGGTCCATCTGGTGAGTGGCTATCCTTTTTTCATTTTCCTGGAAAGCTATTTGTGCCTAGTTGAGCTGTAAAAACTGTATCTAACAGAGTGTCTATGATCAATAAAAACTGGAAACACCGGAATATAAGAAATTTCAATGTGCTAAGGAAATTCTAAGTCCGTGTAGCATTTTCCAACTATATGCAGTTCAGGGCGTAGAAAAGTACAACATTTGAATTAATGCATTAATTATGTTGGTTTGTGAAATTAAAAGAGTGACAAGTCATTCTCGCAAAGAATCAGGAATATTCAATTGACGCATGGGGAAAATCCAAAATGAAATTTTAGTAGACACCCTGTTTAAGTTCTCAATGGAAAATATTCTTAATTTCACAAAACAATCTAGTTATCATGTCGATTTACTAGTTTGAATCATGAATGAATCGCACCACAACTGCAAAATCCAGTCACATCAAGAAAAACGTAAAAAGGAAAAAACGAAAACAAAAAGGCAGAGAAAAAAGAGGAACAAAGAGAAAAGTAGGAGAAGAATGATGTGGAGAAGAAGAAAAAGCAGCAGCTTTTGTCTGTGTGGTAGCATTAATTGGACTTAATTTTGCAGCTAGGAACTAAAAATTCTGGCTCATCCGGAAAAACATGTATGTGCATCAGGAAACTAATGGTTCATATGTCGTTTTTACACTGAGTCAGAATTTATAGTTCCTATAATTGCAAAATGTAGTCCAATTGGATGTACTCCATTTCGAAAATGGGACTAAAATATTAGTTCTTAATTGCAAAATGTATTCCTACTTCAAATAAGCCACTCGTGTGCTTTAGGTGGCAGCGTAAAAAAAAGCAGCTGTTCGGTTCATTTCACTCTTGATTCGCCTTTAAGGCATCAGCTGACTTTGCTCTGAGTAGGCATTCTTGGGCTTTTCCTGTGCCAAAATGTTCGTAAAATCCTCCGGAAGCTGAGAATATAAGGATGAAGTTTCCAAGAAATATCTGATGGCCAAGATTGAAAATATCTGGATTCTATGAAAACAAAATGACTTAACTTTAGAGACGACCGCGTACAATTTTCCAACTGTAACAGAGTGAATTTGTGAGCATTCCTAAACACTGCACCTATCAAAATTCTTTTTGAGACACTATTTTGACATGAAGCATTGTTTCTTGTTGACACTACTTGGTCTTTTTGTGTTATGTTTGTGCGAAATTAACTTAAAGTTAGCTGTTTTGAGTTAAAGAAACGTCAAATAAAAGATTTTTTTTTTTTTTCACTCATTTTCGACGACTTTTTTCATTGGAAGATTCATTTCAAGCAAAATGCGGCTCATCTTCCATGCAACTCAAAAAAAAAATTGCTTTTTATAACCTTTTATTTATGCGAAAACTTGTGCGGTAATTAGCTCCTTCATTTTTTTTATAAAGAAACGTTGTTTTGTTGTCGTTTTTGTAACTTAAACTTAACAATTACAACAGACGCATTTTTAACTCAAAAAAACCAAATGTTAACTAGAAACAACGCCTTAAGTCCAAATAATATCATAAGAGAATTTTCTTTCAATAGTGTACTTTTTGGTTCAAATGACGTCAAAATGTAAGGCTTCAATTGCATCTTATTTGTAACCAGGACAAGTTCAAACCGAATCAATTTTCAGAATAAGGGAGTTACGTGTGTCTATGGTTGGCTGCCACCTCTTTCGTTTGGACGCTTTCCAGTGGTGTCGAGTTTAGACTTTATCCGGAGGTGGCTACCGCCACCCATGAAACTCACCATTTGCCCATTTTACAGCCAACTTCAGACTTAAAACTTAACGGATTTGCAGATATATCCTGTCCGCTGAATGAGATCTGGACAACATTTTGCATTGAGGAACTGTGATTTCTGGCCTCCTTACAAAAGCACCTTTTTGCCTATAGTAAGGATTGACATGTACCTAATTTCTAAAGTGAACCAGAAATAGTAGTTTTTTATTGCAAAGTGAAGTTCAATCAGCTCCTTTTTCCAAAATGAAGTTCATCTTAGTCTCTGTCTACTCTAATCCAAGACTTTCACAGGGACAATTGAACGACAAGGCTCCTGAATTAATGGAGAAGCAAGTGGCAAATTTCCAATTGATGTGTGATATACAGAAGCACACTAGACCTGGAAAAGTCATTTCCACGCCACTGGAAAATGTAAGTTGCTCAGAAAAATGTGTAATACTAATCGGCCACGAAGATATGTAGTGGAAAGATTTGCATGTTGACAATTTTCCTTTGTTAAAATCTTCATTTTTGAGGAAATTTATGAATTTATTTATTCTAAATTTTCAGCAGACAAAGTGATAGACAAAGAATTCAAAGGGAATATGGAGCAATCCTATTGATCGAAACGGGTGGCTCTTTAAGTCTGAAGGGAAAAATGGTGGACTAACCATTATATATATGAGGACTTATCTGTAACAATGGTGGATGTGAAAAATTACCTTTTCGAAACACATTCAAAAAACTGTTTTGGCATCAAGAAAATTTTGAGAAAATACTTGAGATATGATCTTCAAGATCTGTACATTATGCCAGAGCCAAACATATTAAATTTTTGTGTGAACAAAACGGTTTTTTAAGCATGTTTCTAAAAGGTAATTTTTCACATCCGCCATTGTTACATATAAGGCCTCATATATTAATATAATAAGTTAATCCATTACTGTTGAAGCCACCATCTTCCACCAATAGGATCCCTCCAGTTTCTCTTTGTCCTCTTTGTCTATTGCTTTTTATATCAATATCAATAAATAGCCTGCAAGTATGTTGGACTAATTCTGAATAGATTTTCTTGAAAATACAAAAAAATAACACAAGTTTCCCATGATATTTACATTTTAAATCAGAAGGTTTGTAACATCAAAATGCACCCAAGTCCTTTTCCTCGGCATGACCGTAGTGAAATTGGCCTACATTTTGCAATTAGGAAGTACAATTTGTGGCTCAGTTTAAAAACATCGCATGTATCATTATTTTTCCTTTGCACATACATTTTTTTACGGATGAACCAGGTATTGTAGTTCCTAATTGCGAAATGTAGTCCAATTCACAATTGCTGGTGAATCTAGGCTTTTGATTCACCATGCTAAAAGCATATCGCATAAATTGTTGATTAAATACCACAGAGAACGTCAATTTCTGCTTTTGTTTTTACCAAACAGGCAATTTAATTGCAATAAAAATTGAGCAGATCTAATTTGTATGAGCGTAACTGTATTTTTCATTGCCTAATTTTTTCTCATGTGTTTCATTTTTTTAACGGAAAACTAAACCACTTTATGACTTTAAAATTTCTCTGAATTTACCCCAGATTTGAAGAATATATTCACAAAATTTCAAGTTGCTCTTTTTTTTTGTTAAAAAAATAAAACATAGAAAATGAGGCAATATCTTTAACAGTTAGGCTCATTCCGATTGACTCTGACCTTTTAGTACTCCCAAATGATCTTTTGTATGAAGTGTCAGAATTTGAAAAATCCAGGAAAAGTTGAATTGTCAAAGTAGGACTGAAAATATTGAAAAAGGGTGAAAAATTCACTGAACTTCTGACGGAACTTTTTCTGTTAAAGCAGGTATTCAAAAATGATACCTCACCTAAATGATTTTCTTTGATAATTCATATGCAAACCTTTTTTTTTGTGTGTGTGTAATTGGACAAAAACCGGATTAAGCCTTATTTTACTACATCAGACAATCCCTAATTAGTGTAATTTCCGAAGGAAAAATACACTATTTTCTCTTATGTTTTATTTCTTAAATAAAAAACTGAGCAACGTTGAAACTTGGAATTTTATGAGTGTATTCTTCATAATCTAGGAAAAATTCACAACAATTTTGAAGGGGTCAAGTACTTGAGTTCTTTGCTCAAAAATGACACATGAAAGAAAACCAGGCAACCTCAAATGTAGGTAATCAGGCTACCTCCCCTTAAATCTGCCGATATCAACCTGTTTTTATTTTAAATTTAGAATAGAATTTCTTTGAAAAGTATTGCGAAGTTGAATTGAATTGATTTTAGCATTTTGTCGCGCCCAAACTGGAATCATCCTGTACAACCGCCAAGAATGAGCCAGCTTTTTTACAGAAAGGATCAGAAGATGCTTCCCCGGAGACAAAAGACTCGCACAATGAGATTCTTGAACTGGCAAAATCACAACCAGATAATCACCGGTTAATGATGGATATTTTTAATTGTACAAAGAACCCTGAACCAAAAAAATCACAACCAGATAATTGCCTGTTAATGTTGGATTCGTACGAATGCACAAAGATCCCTTATTTACAACCGGATAATCACCAGTTAACGTTGGATTTGAACAAACGTAGGAAGATCCTTGGACTGGAAAAATTACAACCAGATATCCAACAGTTAATGTTGGATTTGATGAATCCAACAAAGATCCCTGGACCGGCAAAATCACAACTAGATAATTACCAGCTTATGCTGGATTTGAGCAAAATCACAAAGCCAGATTGTAGACCTGAGGATGACCCTTCGACTGAGATTTTTGAACCCAGAGAGGTACGTTGTTCACAAATATGGACTACGCGTAAACACAGGTTAAGTAAAGATAAAAGTCCAAAAACAAAAAAGGACAACATTAAAGTTTTTGTATGGAATCATAAGTCAAATAAAGACAAAAACAAAAAAGACGTAAAAGAAAAAGGAACTATTGTTTCTGAGTTACCCACCAAGGCAATTATCTGAATATGGAAATTAATAACACATAAGTTTTTGTAAAGTGTGCCACAAGTAATAGCTCCCTATTGTTTCCAATGTTCAGGATGATCCAAAAATCCCTAAAATCCTTAGGGTTCTTGCCCCTTCTCAGGATGGTTCTTTTAAAATTTCGGAGGTTCCCAGAAGTCATTTCTTTTGACCTGAAAGCACTCACAAAATTCGAAGTTCCTATGTCAATTTGTTCGTAAGTTACAGGGGTCTGGTAGTGGGGAGGGGGGTCCAGATCACCCTGGAAGGCTAGAATTGAGCAATAGTGACATAGCTACCCTGAAAGTTTTGAAATAGACGTACGTGCGATAGTGTGAACTTAGCCCCTAAACTCGGAAAATGCGCTTCTTGGATCGCAATGTTGTAAATCTCCACTCATGTTTCATTTTCATGTCATTGTTTTCATTGAGAGGAAACTGATCAATGGTTTCTGTTGAAATTTTCTGTGAATTTTCCTCTCTCATTCTCAGAATAATCACAAAGAAAAATTTTGATTTGTTTCTGGGGAAGAACATATACAACATAATCGGAGATTTTTTAAGAATGCAATTGAGTTACGAATTTTTTACATTAAGCCCTTGAAATGTTACTGTGACATTTGTAGGCACATGATGAAAATTCACAGAAAATTGAAAGGAAAATGCTCGTCAAATGCCTCTGCAAAATAACAAGACACGAGCTGAAATTGGCTACATTGCAGTCAGAGGTATGGAATGTTTGAATTTAGCTGTCCTCTTAGGGTGGTTCTTGAGTGTCCAACGGGAAATAAACGCTAGTCCCCAGAGGCAAAATTTTCTGTAGAGTATTTTTTTGTTGAGTTGAGTCAGAGAACTGGATTTTCAGATTGTGACCTTAAATTATTTGAAGTGTAATTAGCCTAATTGTATTTTATATTGCCAAACTTTTTCTCCTGATTCGATTTTTGAACAGAGAACGAAACTACTTAAAGCCTTTAAACTCTCAGTAAAATATCTCTAGATTATGAAGAGTATACACCTAAAATTTCAAGTTTCAGTGTTGCTTAGTTTTCTCTCTACAAAACGAAACATCTGAGAAAATTAGACAATGTCTAGTGTCGTGAAGCTAATTCCGGTCAAACCTCTCCATTCACCTGTAATTCAAGGGTTGTAATCTTAATCATTCCTTAAACAGTTCTTTTCTGTAGTAGGCACGAATTGGTTTACATTGTGATTAAGGGAGGTTTTTAAAGGAAGCCTTTGAAATAGCATCATGTAAAACACGATTTTAGCAAATCTGGAGTAAAATTTAGCAGTAAAATTTTGGCAGTGGGCCCTTTGAAGAAAGCACAATGATTCTAACACAATAAAAATTACTAAAGAAGAAAGAAGCTACTTTGGGAGTTTTGTAAATTTTAAGGTAGGTTCATATCTACCCTCAAGTTAGTTGAAATCATAGACTTTATCTTCTGTGTTTTGAAATTTTTGTCGAGGGCAAAGCACTGTAACTCCTTGCGAGGGTCCGTTTTTAAAGTTACATAGCCGAATTTTGGCAAACTTGAGTTTGGCAAGAATTGTATTTTGTATAATGCTACAATGAAGGCTTTCTTAAACCTCCCTTAATCACAATGTAAACCAATGGACCATCGTACAAAATGCCAATTTTTGCATTCTGATACCTGTTTCCTTACCAAAATTTTACGTTGTGCGCAATTTTTTTCTTTTTTTTGGTAACTGAGAGAAAAAGTGGCAAATCTTCTCAAAGATATGACACTTTAGTTCCCATATAATTTCCACCTATTTCGCACCACCACATCATGCAGGATGTGGGTTTCGGCCAGACGGGTTTCTGAAGAGTTAAGCTATCATGTGTTGGTATGGCTCTAGAAAAGAAATATCTCTGATCAAGAGTTAGATTTTGGGAAAGGGGTGATCGGGGACCAAGGTCGAGCAGACCAACTAAACCAAACTCAAGTTAGTGTACCTGCACGGATACTGCCAGAGTCGTTCGTTGAACACAACCTGCCCAACAAAATTCTTCGAAATCAACTCGGAACCAAAATAATAACATTTTTGGTTTACATTGGTTATATGAAATTTGAATTCTTCGCTCACAAGGAAAACAACAGTCTATTTGAATCAAATTAGTTACTACACCGGTTTTTGCAGGCTTTTCAATCAAGGAATGTTCCTTATCCGCCCTGTGTTTAAGGAGTTAACAACAAGCAACAGCTGAGCTGAAGCACCGAGATTGAGGTTGTCGTATTTTCATACCATAGAAACCGTCTTGGTAACCTTCAGTGTGCGATTTTACACTAGTAGGTAATTGTTTTTTCTATAAGCGGGAAGTTTGAATTTATGCATTAGTAAACATTCATATATCGTGGTTGGGAGTTATTCCTTGTAATTTTCATTGTACCTACATACCTTTCTCTGCGTGAAATTTTGATAAGAAAGCATGTAACACATTGCTTTGTCAACATCTTGTCTAATGGTCTATTAGGGTCTCCGAAGGGAAGGAGCTGTTTAAGAAACAACTATGAGTACAACAGTGGTGCTGCTCGCTTTGCGATGTATTGATAGATCTGTCATTCAAACCCATGGAAAATGATCGAGAAACAGGGTGTTCGCAACCAACACCTGAAAAATCGATTCTTTATTATGGCCTCAAATGGAGAAGTATTGATAATGGATCATTCATGCCTCGCCACTGTAATACAATCTTAAGTCTTTTTTTGCAGGAACAACCTAAGGATGACATCCTTGAGGCAGAAGGAGCCAGTTCTGTGTCGAATGAGGCAGTCAAGGCAAATCCCTCGTCACAGGAGGACTCTAGAAGAACTTTGGATGAGACTACTAAAGACTCTCAAAATAACCAAGCAGCATTGAATTCCCTCCCACTGACGGACAAAGCTAATTGGTTTTGCAATGGTGGGGAACACCATGTGGGCCTCTCTTGCAATCTGTCTTGGTTAAAGAACTTCATGGTGGAGGAGTATAACATTCCTGAAGAAGAGGTTTCCGTCATGATCGATTCCTTCTGTCAGGTACGTGAATAAAAAACTAGAAAAATGTTTGAATGAGCCTCTAGACAAGGCATGAATTAAAGCACTGCGTAGCGTGTTTTTGTCTCATAATGCCATGACAAATCACTTAACAGCAAGTCTAGAAATCAACTTCCACACAAGATATACATACGTGTATATAATTAACTCTTAAAGAGTGGGCTCATCTAAGGACTATATCCTATCGATAGCCAAAAGCGATTTTCCAAACGATGAAAGGATATTAACATTAAAAAAATAAATATTATTTCCTCAGAATGATTGAGTAAATCAATAATAATGATACTTTCCAATAAAAAAGAACATTCTTTATTAAGAGTGATTCACAAAGAATAATATGCTCAGGGAGGGAGTCAATAATAATGAAACTTTACCATGAAAGGGAAAGAAAACAATATTATAAAGAGTAGTTAATGACTTACAAAATAAATCACTGGAATCACATGCGGAAGCAAAACAAAGTAGAAATAAAAGTATGAAAAGAAAATTAAAAAGAAACTTAGCCAAGCTACACAAAACACAAAATAATGTGCCGCCAAGTTGCAGAGAAAACTGGTCTGAACTGGTGGAAAAACTGTAATAGTCAGCAAAAAGCCAGGAGAGAAAATGGGGGGGGGGGGCTGTAGAGCATTCATTCCGCTCTGGGGGGGCTGTAGAGTGAGAAAGCCTGTGTCACACTATCAAAATACTCCATCAAAATGTCAAGGTCAAGTGCTGTGATTGGTCAAAGTCATGGAATAAGCCAATCACAACACCTGACCTTGATATTTTGATGGCTAGCTTTGATAGTGTGACATAGGCTTATCATAAAGGGTAGCGGATTGAGGAGGTGCAGAATGAGGAGGGAGGGGTGATGCAAAGGAAGGGGTAGAGGACACACCCAGCGTTTAGTTTCCATGCATTATGCTTATAATTTTATAGTATAGAGTATGATTTATACAACTGACATCATTTGTATAATCTGACTTCGATTTGATCTGGATTAAAAATACTTATTATTGACTCGTTCAGGACTTGATTTTTGAATTTTCCGACATATGGATCGTTTTCTACGGAAGATGTTAAAGAAAAAATCTGTGACAATATTTCATAGTGTAGATCTTGTCTAGTGGCCCATTCCAAATTAATGAAAATCCAGGATATTCTCTAGGTGCGTAACAACAGTTCCAAAAACAACACATATGTGCCATAAGTCTCTCTATGGAGATGGGTAAATCCATTAAAATGCTAATTTTACAGCACATTTAGGCAACAAGGATTGCATTTTGAGGAACCACAATTTCTGGCTGAGTTCAAAAGGAACGTATGTACTATTAGTTTTCCTATGTGCTCAGGTGTTTTTATAAATAAGCCAGAAATAGTATTTGTTGTCCAAGATGCATTAATCTCTGTAAGTCTATAATCTCTTCAATGCACTCTGGAGCATTTCAAGCCTCTTTTGATTGCGTACTTTTTTACAGGAATTTGAAAGGTTAAGAAGGAAGCTCAACTCCCAGGAACAGAAGCCTTTTGAGAAGGATGAGAAGGAAGATACTAATGTGACGGAACAAGCTATTTGGCCTCTCAACACTCGCAACTTTCCAAGCAGCTCTACCTATCTCTCTCTTATAAGGAATTTTATGGTGGAGGAATACGGCATGCCTGAACAAGACGTTCTGCCAATGATAAATTCCTTCTATCGGGTACGTCTTGTCTGTCAAAGAACCTCTGTAATTCTCTGTCTTATGTGAGGGAAATTATGTTGGAGGATTATGACATTCTTGAACAAGACGTTTTGCAGAAGGACAAAGTTTAACAACTAATTTCAAACTCGAAATATTATCTCTCCCCTTTGAAAGTTCAACAGGAGGAATTTAAAACTAGTTGAATTCATAACCACCCCAAACTCATTTTTTTCTCCAAAATACGACTTTGTGCGTTCCTATTAAAATAACAATATTAATCCTTTATTTTTTAATTCACACTGGAAAAAAAACACATTGGATCTAGAGTCCAGACTCTTGAAAACATTGACAAGAAAAGATCCTCTTGATTCAATCGGATTTTTGCTTGAATCAAAACGAAATCCGCTTAAATTAAGAGCCTTGGTTCTTGATTTAAGTCAGATTCTGATTGAATCAGGAGTACTTTTTCTTGTCGATGTTTTTAAGAGTCTGGACTCTAGATCCAATGTGGTTTTTTTTCCAGTGCATATAAGAACATAGAATAGTGTCAAGAAAGGGACAAAAAAGAAGAAAAAAATTTTAAACTAAGACTGAGGTCTAAAGATAGAATAGCAAACACTTAGAAATCATCAATAGAATACAGACATTTTTCCACTAATAAATTTTTACAATCCCTCTCAAAGGTAAATAGAGAGCTGGAATGTTGAATTGACTGTGGCAGCTCGTAAAAGAAAGTATGTCCCTGTTAGAACATTATGTTTATCCCATTTTGAGCTCACTTACTGCACCAACGATTTTTTCCTTGAGTGTTGTAATTATGAAAATCCTTGTTCGATTTTAAGTAGTGCTTTTTCATGAAGAAAACTATTAGAACTCGATACACATATGGACGTATTTCTACCAAACAGACCTATGTGCAGGTGAGAAATATGGGGTGTGCTTGTTAGTTCTCTGGCCGTAAGAATGAATGGGAACTATAAAGCGTAAAATATTTATAAGTGACGTCAGCAGGGACAAAGCCGCCCTTGCGGCACTGCCGGCCTCTGCTTGGTCGGCTTTAACTCATGAGCCCTGTCCTTGATGCTCTCTAGCCATGCCCGCGGTTCATGAATCCCGCATTCAGTTGGCGATTATTGTTAGTTCCTTTTGGTAGAATGTAAAATTCCGCTTTTCCAATTCTTCAAAAGGAATCATGCCCACTATTACAAGGCTTCTTATGCAGCTTTCTAGAGCACACCCCATATTTCTCACCTGCTCACAGATCTGTTTGATAAAAATACGTCCATATAAGGATGGGATCGTTAAAATTTTGTCGTCTTTGAACAGATCACTGCAAATAATGTGAATAAATGAGGAGTTATTCCTTGTATGGCCCTATTTTTATGACCAGAGATTATTAAGATTCAGACTGGACGAGCAAAAATCGCGCTGTGCCACATTTATGAAAATTAAAAATTACAATATATTGCCCAGCATGCATTGATTTTTGTGAATCTATCTTTTTTCTATTAACTTTGGAGTGTTTCAAGCCTCTCATGATAGCGTACTTTCTTACAGGAAATTGAAACGCTGAGGAGGAAATTCAACTCCAAGGAACAGGCGCCTCTCGAGAAGGAAGGTACCAATGAGGAATCACACGCAGAGGAAGCAACGATGGCGGAGGCTTCCGGGAGTTCTTCGACGGTATGTTAAATGTTCAGACTAGAATTCTCTACTTCTCAAAATCAGAGTGAATTTTACAATAAGGAACGGCCAGTTCCAGCTCTTCCCAGAAACAACATATATGCCATTAGAGTCTCAATGAAGATTAGTTGGACCCATCAAAATGCTAATTTTTCCAACAGTTCCTGGCTCAGTTTAGAAAGAACTTATGCACTATCAATTTCCTCATGCACCTAAGTGTTTTTACGAAGAGACAAAAATTATAGTTCCTAATTGCAAAACATAGTCCAACTAGGCTTGAGCATCACAGAAGTTCCATCTCTCTTTCAACACACAGTATTTCTTCACTTGTAAATAGATAGTTTTAACCGATATGTGCCCAACTAGCCTTAATGTAGGGTAATTTTTTCTGATGTTTTATTTTTTTTATCAGGGAACCAAGCGACACAAATTCTGCTAGTGTACTTTTCTACCTAAGGTAAATTCACTGGAATTGTATAGGTATTAAGTAGCACAGTTTTGTGATAAAAAAATAAAATAAAGAGATATGATGAACGACAATCAATCACTGGACAAGGTACAAATTCAAACATCCTGAGTTATGAGTTCTCTACAAAATTTTACATTACACATGATTTGCGCAGTGAAAATTACTGAAATTCCCACCAAAAATATCAAGTTTTTTGTAAGGGATAAAGTTAAACATACCGGTCATGTCTCCATCGCAGTGTTTCAAATTCTTATCTCGCATTTTAATTTTTTAGACAAATAAAACCAACCAACATTTTTGCGAAAATGTCCCTCTAATGGGCAAACAAAAAGTGCAATGCAAGATGGGATGTTGGTTGGTTCCTTTCCATAAAATTCAAATACCAGATAAGTTATTAAAAAACTGCAATGAAGATGTGAATTTCTTGCTTTGCTCCATGCACTGGTTAAGAAAAATTTAAATTTCCCGTTTACCAGAAGAACAAGAGTCTACTTGAATCAAATCGCGCAATACAATGGTGTGGACAAGCTTCGTGTAAACAACGCGCAACAGCTGAGACAAAGTGTCGAGATGGAAGTTGCAATATTTCAATACTGCTCAGACTGTTACGGTAACATTTAATAAGGCAAATTTCACTCAAGTAGATGGTTTTTTTCATGAGAGGGAAATTTGAATTTTTGCTACGAAAAACATTAATATCTAGCTATGAGTTACTTTCAGTAACATTTCGTTGTTTAAACCGTTTTTTGATCGGAAATTTTGATCATAAAATATGTATCATACTGCCATTTCAAGAAAGAACGCCGTATGAACATTCGAATGTCGCCAAACCTCTCATTAAATATTAATTTTTATGGAAAGTTATGAACATTTTTTCCTTGAAATTTTCAGATGTTTTAGATCCAAGTATGTACAAGCAAAACTCTAAAAATTTGTAAGAAAAATATTCAGAAACTTTCCTGCAAATTTGTGATTTGTCAAAGGAAGTTTGGCAACATCTATAACCTCATATGGCGTTCTTCCTTAGCACAGCAGGATGACGTTTTCTGCACCCTGTCCAGTGGTCTAATGCCATCGGATCATAATTGGACTAGTTTCATGTTCCATAGCTGTGTTTTCTCTTCAACGTTTCCTCTTATTTTGCCTTCACAGTCAACCTCAACCGATATCAACGATGACGTTCAAGAAGTTTCAGAAACAATAAAACAGCCGACAACAAGCGGGTCTGAGGTTAAATGTGATGCTCAGGGTTTCAAATGTGGGGATGATAACTCTAATCCCTCACCTCCAATGGTAAGTACTTGGATAACTGAATGGTCTAAAGCTCACAGAGTCTGTTTGTTGGAAACGAGATGAAATAAAACACTTAGTTAATGGTGAGGACAAGTCCCACCGGCCCTGAGATGAGTTTTATTCAATGTAACTTTACATAGCAGAGAAATTAACATCTGGACAAAAAAACCATAGCATACAGATAAGCCGGAGGAGAGCAGGGAGAACAAAGAAAAAGGGAATAACAAAAATCCCACAAAAAAAACTAAAATTCCCCACATGCACTTCAACACTTTACATGGAGAGTTAAATAAAATACTATTCTGTTGTTGTTCATTCATCATCAAAAAAAATTTCTCTGTAAAAACAGCGGACGTGGTCTTTTTTTTATAGATTACTGTATCTCGTTGACATTTGCTTCTAATTAGACGTATTTCTGTCAAACGGAACTATGTGCATCAAGACATGAGCCCTGAGATCCATAAGAATACATGCATCACAGGGCTCACGTCACAATGCACATAGTTCCGTTTGACAGAAATACGTCCAATTTACCCTCATTATTGCCTCTTTTTTTGGAGGACGATTTGCTCCATAATAAAATCCTTGGCTAAACCCTATTTGCTGCACGAACATTTAAATGCACAGCTTCAAAAACTTTGCACGGGATTTTCTGAAAGCTTGAAAACTCGACACCTGCTATTTATAGATGTGTGAACTTTTGTGTTTAATTCCTTACTCTATGCAGCAGTCCATTGCATCTGAACTTGAATTAATGAAGCTTTTTTTCACTATACAGGGTGAGAGCTCGAACACTGCACCTAGAACTGTACGCAGGCCATGGTTACACATCGCAAGAAAATACAATGGTCCCAGGCCTTTCGTTTTCGGAAGAACGTCGATGGAACAGATGATGGATGGATGGCATCCCAATCCTATTTTGGCCGGACGCAGACGGCTCATGCAAACAGAGAAAATCCAGGCACTCGAAGCGGAAATTGCCGGTCTCCAGTCGTACATTCAGGAATTGGAGTCAACAAAGCAACCCAGCTCAGCAGAGCGGGGCGATCATTTGGACGACATCGTCCTCGTTCTGTCCGACGAACTGGCCAAAGTCGAGCTTGAAAACAAAAAACTGAAGGAAACCGTGGATCAATTCATTGCAGGTAGCACAGAAAGACTTGAGGCCCATAGCACAGAACAACGTGGAACTTCTGTTGCAGATGACATGGAACAACGTGGAAGCGTCACAAATCGCGAATCACTGGTGAACAAAGCCACACAGAGTGAGGAAGAGGGGGTTCCTGAGACCTTCAAGCACGCGGCCCAAAATTATGTCGGGAACTGCAACCTAGGCTGGCGGAATCGGAGCTTGATCGGGTGTTTGAATGACGTGAGGACACCGCTCCACGCCGTTTTAAGTCAACCGGTCGTACCGGGCACTCGTTTCGAATTCCAAGTGAGAACGCTACCGCACTGCAAGAATTTCACCATCAAGCTGGGGTACGACCAGTCCCGATTTCCACTCCAGGCCACCATTAGCACGGACATGATTGACCTCTCTTGTCAAGGAAGTTCCTTGTACGGGGAGAAGCATGATCTGCCTCAAGACTTGCGACCTGACTCCTGCTACGCTCTTATTTTCGTCGTTAATTCTGACAGCATCGAAATCACGATCCAGTCGCACAGTGGTGCGACTCTGTATTGGAACGAGTATAGACCGGCTGTTCCTGTGACTGAAATTCAGTATGTTCATGTCGATGGCAATGTAGTCGTGTGTGATGCAACGCTGAAGGAGGCAGACAATGCGTGTTGTCTAGAAATGCGAGAAAGGCTACGGCGCGCCTTCGTCGAGTACGTTGATTTGTCGTATCGCTATGCGCTTCTCAAAAGCAAGTTGGAAAGTGCCCAGAAGAAAGACTTGTAGTCTGACTCCGAAGACTGAGAAGCCTCTCGTCCTTTAGACCTTAGTGATAAGATAAATGAGACCACATTTTGCAGTTTGGAACTATAATATATGGCATGGACTAGAAACACTGCAAGAACTATTATGTTTTTACGGATGAGCTCGAAAGTGTAGTTCCTTACTGCAAAATGTTGTCCATTTTTTTGAGACATTTTGAAGCTATGACTGCCTCGCTGCGCAAGAAAGCTATTGGTGGTTTTTGAACTTTGGAGAAAAAAATGAGAGTGCTCTTCGTGAATTGCAAGCATTTTTTGGAAGAGTTGTGAGTTGGTTCTCATTTGTGTGATCATTAGCAATTCAGTTTCTCTATTATTTGTACTTTCCGCTATGGAACATCTTAAGTATGCTAGAGATTGAGTAAACTTCTCACAGGACATTTAATTCTTCACACGCAAGTTATGTTGATGGGGACCTCTTAGGTCCACTTTCGAAGGGGCAATTTGTGCATTCCATATCACGCATTTTCTAATATCCTCCAGCCGCAGAGACATTTTGCTCACCTGCTGGCACCAAGGCCTACTCAGAAATAGATGTAAGAAAACCTAACCAAAATAAACTTTCATCAAAAGAGCTGTTCTCATGCATTGTTTTAAAAAAATTGCTATCGATCATCCTTATGTGCGATTTCTGTTGGCGAAAAGCGTCAGCTGTTTTGTAAAGTTTTGATTCCTCCAGTTTTTCATTTCTCAGTTTCAGTTCGGTATGATACCTTGCCCATAAAGGTGATCTAAAAGCGTCCTCCGAGTGTTATTTCTTTCCATACCACCTTTAGCTTTTACCTTTAGCCTTTAATTTCATCTCCTTCAAAGCATTTGCTCTTGCTTTTTCCTTTGCACAAAGATGAAACGAACATTTTGAAAGAACTAAACTCATACGTGAGAAACATTGCCGATAGCTTAGAAAGTATTTATCTCCTCGAATTTAGGACCTAAGTTAGGTTCCATTCCTTCACATACAATTAATTTCACTAATGGTTCTCTTCTGCAGCACAGCAAGGCAGTATGTAAAAACGGAAGTCATCGTAGTTATAAACACTACCCTGAAAGAAAAAGTATCAAGTGAAACATCCTATTTGAAGCAGTTTTAAGCTATGCTCCTCAGTCTCACAATGATAATTTTGTAAAAATGTTAACTTGATACATGATGACTTGTTAATTTGATAACCAATTGAATTATTTTTTCGACTGATTAGTTTTATTTTTCGAACATTTCTCATCAGCGCAGCGGGCCGATTATTGAAATTAATGGACAAAGCTGTAGACAAAGAAGACAAAAGGGGCATGGAGAGATCCTATTGGTGGAAGCAGATGGTTGGAATGGACAAAGAAGGTAGGTAAGAGACTAACTAACGGCAACCCATGGGAGAACCTATAGCTAACCTAAAATTTTCTCCCTTAGTCTCTGAAAACCACCCATTTCAATCAATAAGATCGCTCCATACTCCCATAGAGTACATAGAGTCGTAATGTAAGTGGGAGAGCAGGCGTCACTTTTAAACATTTTCCAGGTCCCAAACGAGACCCCTGTGTGACGACGGGTCACTTTTCCGATACATGATCGATTGTTCTTGATACACGGGTACCCGGCCATCCGATGTAAACAAAGAAGATAGGAATTACCACTCATTATACACCGCCATTTTAGATGAAAAATGTATAGAAAAAGTGACCAAAGCTCGGCGCACACCGGGCTTGGAACTCGTCGAGCAGAACATGGCGCCAGTTCTCTCATTTACATTACAACTCTATGTACTCTATGCATACTCCTTATATCCTCTTTGTCTATTGCTTTGTCTATCAGTTTCAATAAAAAGCCCACAGCATATGAGAGCATGCTGCGCTTGGATTTGAGACAATTATGTTGAATAATCGCTTAGTTTTTTAAGTTTCACATGCCTTTAGGTCTGCAGTTGCGGTTGCCTCTCATTCAGGTGAATCGTAGGTCAAAAGTGCAGAACAGCAAGATATTCATCCTCTTTTCAACAATTTTGATTTAATGTTATGTTCAAGAAAAAATTAAGGGTCTACAACATCCGCAGACAGGTACAATCCACTCAGCGAAGCATTCTTGTATGAAGTTTGCCTTAATATCCCCAAAGCTGTAGCAATATCTTAAGGAAAATTGCTTTAATATGGAATCAACATGACCTATAAAGAGAGCAATAAAGTCATTGGATTTTTTACCAGTATTAAATGTGGAAATGTGCAAAAGTAGTGTGCAGTGCTATTTTTCCGCCAGGATGTACAATTTCTCTCGGTTTTAATTACCTCCATCGCTTTTTTTCTGATCAATATTACTCTGTATTATTTATGGTAATGATTACTGTCGTATTGCTGCAATATTTGTTTCATGTTGATGTTCATATTTTCAGTTTTCTGCAAAAATCCTGCTCTCTGACTGAATATCAACACTGTAACAATATTGCTTGAATGTTAACAGACCGATTATTACCTGGCTAATATCTGCAGTTATGCTGGCACGGATGATAAACTGCACGCCTGAGATACAGCTTTCTCTTCTAACTCTTTACAACTTCCTATTTTTTTGTGACTATAAATCGGTTCTGTTTTTTCATGTTCAATTAAGTATTTTCTCGAATATATCTTACTATTTGACAGTTACAAAAGCTTCTATTTTATATATCAGTTGGACCAGTCCCGAACATTCCTCTTTTGCTTGTAAGATGGCTTCAATTGGAGTTTTGTTTGGTATTATTTGATTAACCTCGGTGTAAGGCATACAAGCACATACATCATTTTACACTCGTGTGTGTAGACAACTTTTTCCATTTAGGAGCCACTGTTTCTGGCTCATTTCATAAACAGCGTAAGTGCCGTAAATTTTCCTATACAAATAGGTGCTCCTGTGGATGGAGGTGGCGATTTTTCAAGTTGGCAACACTGTTTTTCCTCCAATATAGTATCGATTCAGGTGAGGCGAGCTGCCTCTTCTGCTGATTGTTTTATAATACATTTTATGGAGGAAAACTATTGATGCCAATTGCAATCGCCAAAAATCGCCACCGGTGGATGAGTCAGAAACAGTCCAACTACCTCCTCTTCTTTCGGGTTATTCTATACCTAAGCTGCAAGATTGTGCAATTAGACAGTGACATTTTACAAGTATTTCACATGGGAAGTGCTGATCTTTCAGCACTATCTGGCAACTATGTATCTATGCCTTTTCTGTTCGAACTCTTGTTTCATCACTTACAAGCAAAAAAATTACTTTCACCTACATTTCTTGTATTTATTTTGTGAATTTTGTACCTTTATCTTTTCCTATAGTAAACGTGGTTCACATTTATCAACTTTCTGTGTATCTCTTTTCCCACCACCTTTTTCCTAAGCCCAATAACTCCGTCGCTAAAATTTAACGGGTCAGTTAACATACGCTGAGGAAAAGCGCCATCTGAACATTTTGACATTGTGAAACTTCTTCCAGTAAAAGAACAGTGTTCTTGTAAACTTATTTTTTTTTTTTTCAATTGTACCGAATTATTAGAAGGTGCCCGACTGCATTTGACGTTTCCTAATTTCTCTTGTTTTATTTTTCAACACAGAACTAACCTACGTAATGCTTTTGAACTTTCTATAAATGTATCCAGAATTGTGAAGAATATATTCATAAAATTTCAAGTCTCAGTATTGATTAGTTATCTGTCGAAAAAACAAAACATCAGAGAAAATTTAGACATGCGAAAGCAAATTAAGTTCTGCCTTACATTTTGAGAAAGCTCCATTGGAGGTATCTCCTAGGGAAAAACTGAGAAAAGCAGGTGGAAAAATTAAACGCTTTATTGTACAAAAACATGGATAAAAAGGTAACATAAAAACGATTTAAAAAAACAAAAAAATACATTGATAAGAAAATACAAAATTCTGAACCATTGTTCCGCAAAGTTTTTTTTCTGGACATTGAATGAGTTATAAAATTTGAGGATATCACTTAGATTATCACATCCCTAAGTAAAAAATAAATCAGCCTTTTTAATGTACAGCCTTCTTCCTGCAAAATATTGAATTGCATTTTGCACTTGGGAACTACTATTTCAGACTTATCCGTATAAACACTTATCTAGATGGGAAAGCTAATGGCACATCATTGTTGGTAAACTAAGCCTGAAATTGTGGTTCCTAATTGCAAAAGGTGGTCAAATTTTTCCCCACTCTGTATCTAATTCCGAGTGTTTTGAATTGATTTGTCCCAGAACATGCTATTTCAATTTCCTTGAAAAATATTATTTCCGTGGAAAAAATAGGAATCATTACCTACTGTCTGTGTAAATGATTTAAAAAGGATTTTTAAAAATACAGATTCAAAAGAATCAAGAATAACGAGGGACAGAATCAGAAATGGAACTACATGTTGCAATCAAAAACTGCAATTCCTGGCTCATTTCAGAAACAACATATGTGCGGTTAGCTTCCGTGCGCAGAAAGGTGTTTTTAGGTATGGGCCAGAAATTGTAGTTCCTCATTGCAAAATATAGTCATATTAGTTACGTTTGATGACTTTTCTTAGAGACTGAAATAATGTTTGTTCCTAAAACTTTCATTTCAGTCTCTTTCACTCTCTTGCCATGTGAAGGTAAATCGAGAAACACAAGGTGCTTCTTTGCTGAAAAGATAGGATGGGCGTAATTACACAAAAAGGAACTACATAAGTAAGAAAAAATTGAATTGAAAGGAACCAAGAGACGTTCAAATACTACGTTCATAGTCCCTTTACATAATTTGCACTTAGTTCTTTTTAGTTTAGACATTTCTGATCAATTTGACTAGCCTCAATGTTCCCAATGAGACCCAGTTTATTCTTATGATAGACAAATTTTAGTGAACTCTTTGCTGACTAAAAAAATATAAAATAGCATCAACGTTTCGTTGTGTCTGAGAATTATACAGGTGATTTGATAAAAATTTGTAAATGCATAACAAATTCAAGATATGTAGATAAAAAGACCACTTATCCATTTAACCTACTAAAATTAATTATTAAAAATTAGACTGTGGTTGTAATTTTGCACAAAAGCAAAAAAAAATAAAAATTAACAAGCTCCAAAACAGAACAGACGCACAGATTCTTCTTAAGGAAGTTTATTTAAAACTATTCAGAGGACTGACAAGGATGAAACACTACCATTCTGCCGTGCTGAGGAAAAACAGCGTACAAACCTTCAGGCGTCGCAAAATTTTCTTTGATAAAACGCCAATACCTCAGTAAACTTCTTCTAATTTTTAGGAGATTTTTGTTTGTATTTTGATCGAAAGTTCATGAAAATGTCAAGGAAAAATATTCATAATTTTCCTCAAAAATAAACATTTTATCAAAGGAAATTTGGCGACTCTCGAATGTTCATACAGCATTGTTCCTTAGTACAAAAGCATTGTGAACTTTTATTGTGTATATCTTACTTATTGTGCTTACTAGTCAATTTTCAGATGGATTTGAGCAGAATAAGCCTAACCACCTTTCACTTCGCCTAATTTTTCTCAAGTTAAACTTTTTAAACAGAGCACTGAACTACTTTAAACATTTAGACTTTCAGTAAGTTTACCTCAGATTGAGGAGAATATACTCACAGGATTTCAAGTTTAGGTGTTCTTCAAATTTCTTGTAAAAAATTAAACATCAGAGAGAGGTGCATGACATCTCAAAAAGTTATCCCCCCCCCCTCCACCTCAGCAAAAATATCAGAAGGTTTAATATGATGTGTTTGCTAATTGGAAAATTCTCAAATTCTTAAACTTTTCCCCCCTAAACATAGTACTTATCCTGTTCTTTTCTATTCTGGTAAGATGAGTAAATTCCAGGTAGGTCATCCAGGATAAACTACACAGAAAGGGTGATAAAAGTAGGGCACAAATGATGCGAAAACATTCAGAACCTGGAATGGATCTGAAAATAAACTCGACAGTCTTTATTTCATTACGTAAATACTGCTTCAGCCGAAGGCCTAGTGCCACAAATTCAACCCACATCGGTCTCACAAGATCATAGAATGAACAACATATATTTTTATTGTATGTAAAACAATATAATACCTAAGAAAATTCATAGTAAGAATAACGTTTTCACCGACAATAGAAAGGGCGTTCCGGAGTTAAATGGCCTGACTGCCCAAGAATAAGAATTCCTGAACATTTTTGGACTTCCAAATTTCTAGATCTGCAGACTTGAGAGTTAACACCGGATTTAGGCGTTTTTACGTCCAATTTAAAATTAAGAGGAAAAAAGTGCGGGTATCCTCCGACGGGACATTCCGAAAAAAAGTCCAAATAAGCTATGTTGCTTGATCATGAGGCTGATGTGGAGATGAACTGTTTATTGAAAAGAGGTTTGGCAAGAGGAAACAAGAGGTTAAAAACAGAAGGAGATCTGATTGAGCTGAAGCAGAATGGACGACTTACAGTAAGGTGGAAAGCTCAACTTACAGTAACAAGGAAAGCTCAACTTACAATAACAAGGAAAGCTCAACGGTGCAGTTAATACTGAAGTTGGATCAGTTGGGCCAATAGCAAGGCTTGGTGAAGGAGTCTGGTCCGACCATGTCAATGAGCGCACTGTATGTCGAGCAGCAACCACCGACCAGACCAATTCCGATCAGTTCGTACATGTACACACGCATGTGTAACGGCACCTCTCTGGGAAGAAAATGGCAAAAAATAATCAACATACGTTGAAATAGTCATTGAAAACAAACTCGGCATTTGGCAAGTATTCATGCTTTTAATCTGAAACATTGTTTATCCTTCTTTGATGCATGGTAGTTATAGTGAGGTTAAAAAAGATCCAGGAAAAGAAAAAAGTATTTGGTCGTAAAACAGACTGAAATGAGTTGACTGTCTAATGACCTTGTCCAGTGATTCGGCAGCTTTTCAGACTTTCATGAATGCTTCCAAAAGATTTGCAAAATATCGAAAACGATTTAAAATTGACGTTCTGAAAAACGAAAAAATCCAAGGCGCAATTAAACTTAGACTGCAGTGCTGAGGAATACGGCCAGCCGATCATTCAAATCTTTCCAATTTTCCTGGAAAAAAACTTTTCTCCAGGAGAAGAGAGAACAATTATTACTGCACTTTCCTGATGCACCAGACTGAATGCAATTAACTTCTCTCGAAAATCCAATTTAAATTTAAGTTGTAAATCCAAAAAAATGTGTATTTTTTACCGATAATTCATGCTTGATTAAAAAACCGAAATTCACGAACAAGAGAGAATATTCAAGTGCTATTTTTGCAAATTATCAAGTAAGATTTTGCAGTAAACAAGGTTTTAAACGAGGCAAAATGCAAGAAAATTGAAAACAAATTATTTTTAGCCATTGTTCTCTGTTTTCCTGTATTTGGTTTCGATAAATTAACCAAGATTTTAAAATAAGTAACAAACATCTTCGAGGGTATTTTTCAATGACCGTAACTTTTAGCTCACATAGTACTTTGAATATTTTGAACAATAAATGCGGACATTCTGATCCTTAGCACTGATTCATTATAACTAGGTTTACCTAACTGGCCAGTTCGGTGCCCTTTGGTCGCTGAGCTTCAGGTAGAAATAGTTTGGCAGAACGAAAGTTGTAAGGGTGATGGTCGAGCCTCCGACTAGCGAGAGGATTTTCGAAAACCGGGGAACAGTCGCCCCCACGATTATCATGAGCATTATCATGCACGTGCGCACGATGCAACGCTTTAGACAGAACTCTGGACAAATCAAAAGGGTAAAGTCAAGAATTAATTTTGGTTGCACTCAACAGGTGTAGGATATTGAGTAGACTTTTACTTTGTGAAAGGGTCAGTTGCGCTGGTCACAGAGTCGTGTTTGGATGCTTAATTCTTCCGAGATCTGTCCAAACAGCAACTTCTAACGTTCAATATTAGCAGAGATATTGCGCTTTGAAAAATTCGGTTTATGACGTTATCCTCCACGCTAAAGACACCCTTGGTTTCTTCCACCTTACTTCCATCTGAGTTTCACATTGTGTTACCAGTGCAAATGTGTGTCTCTGTAATTGACATCATCTAGATGGAAGAAACCAAGGGTGCCACCACTGTACTGCCGTGCTAAGAAAAAACCCCGGATGAACCTCTAGGCGTTACCAAATTTCCTTTGATAAAACACGAATTTCCTGGTAAACTTATGAATATTTTCTTTCCAATTTTTCAGACACTTTTGCTCACAATTTCACCTAAAGTTTCTGAAAATTTCAAGGAAAAATATTCATAACTTTCCTAAAAAATAAACATTTTATCGAAGGAAATTTGGCAACTCTCGAATAGTCATACGACGTTCTTCCTTAGCACAGCAGTGTAGTGGAAGACATCATAAACCGAATTTTTCAAAGCGTGATATTTCCGTTAACAATGAACACAAAAAGTTGGCTTTTGATAGACCTTAACATTTCTAGCTGATCTACAAGAATCAAGCATCAAAACATAATTCCTTCAGGACAGCTTTTCAACAACAGAATCAATGACTTTTGAGGGCTAAACAATAAGTTTGAATTAGTTGAATTGAGGATTTTTAAGGACTTTTAGAGGAGTGCTGATGAGGTTTTTTAGTGCTTTTGAGGTAGAGCAAAAATACTGAAAATTAAGAAAAAGAAGGAGAAAAAAAAGGAAGAGAAAAAAGCAAAAGGATAAGAGGAAGAGAGGGAGAAAAAGAATAGGAGAAGGAGAAAAGGAGAAGATGATGAAGCAAAAGGATAAAAGAAAGAAGAGGAGAAAAAAGAAGAAAAACAGGTAGAAGAGGAGGAACTTTCAGAAAATGTACCCTACATTAAAGAGAACATAAGTATTCAAAAAATTTCAAATTTTAGTGTTGCTTGGTTGTCTGTTTCAAAAATAAAACATTGGAAAAAATGGTCTACGTCTGATGTAGTTTGGCTGAATCTGATTCAATTATTAATTTATTTACCTTCATCTCTATCAGTAGACCTGGGGTGTCTGCCACTGAAGAAAGAAGAGCTGTTAATTTGCCATAGGAGTGTTTTTTTTGGTCGTTTCCGCTAGAATTTCTGCAGGCTCCCAGTTTTAAATCCTTCAAAAGTTTTGAATTGCTTCGAGGATCATTTGTTAATTCAGGTAAGGTTTTCAGACGACTACTTGGCAAAAATGATTGACAATAATTTGAAAAAATAATGTGAAAATGCCCCTCTGTAAATTAATAAAGACTAAGATACTGTATTCTATCTTTATTTCCATTATTTTTTATTAATAAACTGATCCTGAAAATTGGTAACAATATTTTATGTACTAAGATCATAGGTAAAGCATCAGATTTGTTGAAATTTTATTTAAAAGATAGAAAGCAATTTTTTCAGATCAGAAACTGTAAATCAGATCAACTCTTTTATTAATTAGGTGTTCCTCAAGGTAGCATCTTAGGCCTTTTGCTTTTCATTATTTATGTAAACAACATGTACAGAGTAATTAAAGAGAGAGTATCTGCTGGACTCATTCAGTTTGCTGATGACACAACAGCAATCATTACTAGTAGTTCTATTGAAGAAATTATGAGTGCCTATCATGATGTAATGAAATGTGTGAAGGAATATTTTACTGAGCTTGTAGCAGAGACGCACTCTACCTTGAGAGTACGCAGTACACCTCTGTTAGGAGCACCTCGGACATACGTGAGAGATCGCGTATTTCCGAGGTGATCTCAGGTGGGTGCTTTGGTTGGCGCGTGCCGCGTCAGGGTTAGATCTTTTGGGCACCGCTATATAGCGGCAGCCAAGCGGCCAAGGAGTGGTCAGTTGCGTACATGCGTACTTGCCGGTGATTGCCACCTTAGTGCTTTCTAGACGTCATCATGAGTTGGGCTATTTCCTCATCCCCTAGACCATTACAAGCTTGGTTTGTGCCTTAACAATGATAAAACTCAATGTATGTTCTTCGGTAAGGAGTCAGATATGAACATTGCAGGGATAAAAACTGTAGCAATAGTCACATTTCTGGGTATTGATGATGATTGAAAAGGGGTATTCCAACTCAAAAATTAATTAACAAACTGGCCTCTATGAGCTACGCGATACACAGAGCAAGGAAGGTGATCTCCCGACTAGGGATGAAATAATTTTACTATGGACATGTCTTCTCACATTTGAAGTATAATATACTTGCATGGGGTGGAGCTAAAACAATGCAAGAGTTGATGTAAAGCCAAAAACGGCTTACAATCAATTTTCGGTTTGAAAAAAGCTGCTTCCTACAGGAAAGATTTCAGGAAGTATCAGTTTTACTGTAGTGTCAGTCTACATTTTAGAACTTTTAAAGTTAGTTCGGGAAGCTGATGACATTTGTGTCACATCCAATAATGCTCACTCATATGCAACCAGAAGTGGTAGCGATATACAACTGTCCTCTGTTTAATCCACAATAATTGCAGCATTTGCTTTGTTTGTTGGCAACTAGTCTCTATAATGAACTGCTAAAACCAATTAAAGAAATTGAAAACAACAGGGCTTTCCTCAACAACATCAAAGATCTATCAATCACCAAAGCCTGCTATATTACATGTAGATGAATTTTTAAACTGTTACCTATTATTATAAATAGTTGTATATAATAGTTGTTCTGGCTTGTGCCATAACTATTTTTATTGTTCTGTTTGTACCAATTTATGTTAAATAAATAAAAATATTTGTTCCAATTGTTTACACTGTAACGTCTGAAATTTGGTAACCTCATAATCATCATGAACCGATAGGCTAAATCCAACCGAAGAGCCAAACTACATGAGATGTTGCCTACTTTTTTCTGATATTTCATTTTCAAGAGGGAAACTAAGCAACACTTGAAATTTCATGAATCTACTTGTCATAAACTAGCGGGTTTTTCACAGAAAGTTGGAGGTTTAACTCTCTGTTAAAAAAATAAAACACGAGAGAAAATCTGGCAGCGTGAAAATGCAGTTACGCTGTTTTCGGTTAAATCCTTGATTTTTCCTTATCGCAGCAATAACAGATTATAGAGTACTCACCGGGAGGAACTTGGAGCATTTCTTCTAGATCCTGGCAAACAGGATTGATGATAATTAAAAACGCTAGGATCAGATGAATTGCCATGGCAATATTCGCTAAGGAAACGAGAGTTGTATGACTCAGCGACATGACTACATTTGGTTGAATACTATCGCCGTAAATATAATAGCCTCCGATCACCAGAGGGCTGTACAGACCGGTGATAGCTGCCGAAACAGAGAACGGAAAAAATGAGATATTGCAGAAATGAAAGCTGAAAATACAATGAAAATCGATGCAATTTTACTTCCAAGTTCGATTCAGCTTATCCTTAAATTCAAGTTTGCTATACTGCGAGATCAAGCATGCTTCAGGTTTTATACACCTGAATCAATTTTAAAAGGAAAATTTAGAAGAAATAAATTATAAAGAGAAATTTTTTTTTCTTTACATTAGGTTACTTCTTCTATACAAGAAGTTCATGATTTTCTTTTGTGAGCAGAAAGTTTGAACTTATGAATTAAAATACGTTAATACCTTGGTTGGAAGTTATTTTGTATAATTGAAAAGTTTTCTCATTGAAGAGAATATTTCAAGATTAGTCTTTGTTTTGAAAATCAACTATATATCATCAGCACATCTTAAGAAACACACAGTCATGTTCTTATCTAGATCTGATGCTCCTGTGCAAAATTAAGGGCCACTTTACCGAGGCTTCAACTGAGTTTTTCAAAAAACAAACTTTTTTTTATTATAGATTTCCAGATTAGATTCTGTACACAGTAGGTGAAATTTTCGAATAAACTTAAAAAAAAAAAAAAAAAAGTTTTTTACAGGACGCCCTTCCTCGAGCAAACTCTTCTATTTTTGTTGCACAAATAATACTCTACGAGTAATTTTGAAAATCAAAAATATCGACGGTGAAACTCAATAACCACGGACCTTGTTTGCGGTGTTAGAAATTTCCGCTCCTATTTTATTTTTTCATAGGAAAACGAATCAACATCATTCCATGAAGTTTTTTCAGAAGCGATTGCAGCTCCATTAAAAACAAATTACGATAACTTCTTTACGTTGAGAGCTCTTTTACCTATGAAAGCAATCATCACCGACTTTGAGAACTTCTCACGATGAACCATATCGTTCTGGATGGTGGGAAACGTGGAGGCCCCGCCGAAAGCAAAGAGGATGGTGCCAAACGCAAGGAAAAACTCCTTGAAGGAATGTGGCCTGTGTCGCGGAAGCTTTTCCAGGTTCAGACCGTCGATCAACATCTGCGTGGCTATGAAAACAACAGCCACAGTCGTCGAAAGCAGTGCTCCAACTCCCACTAACCTGGAAAGGAAAGTAACCCCGATTTAGAAAACAACCTTGTGGTTGATACATTTCTAGAGCAATTACCAGTGGAGACAATACATGAAAAGCAAAATCCATTTTCCAAATCAATCATAAATACGAACACGAAACCTTATTCGCACCTGCAGTAATTAACTCAAACAAAATCCACACTAGATTTCAAGCCATAAAAAGTGCAATCAAAAGCAACCCATCCTTATATCATGGCAAGATTTTGTTGATAAGAAAAATAGTCTACCGAGAGGAATTTCAAAACAGCCTTGGAAAATTTTTTTGCAGATAAATGTTTCTACTGCAAAACTAAAAACAAAACCAAGATAAGTTTATTTATTGTTTTCAAAATAATAATAAGCTGATTGACAGTAATGTGTTTGGTGGTTGTAGCATATTCCAAACAAATAAAACAAATAAATAAATAAAATAAGGAATTTTAAGCATAAGTATTTACTAGGGTAGGTGGGGGTAAGAGTACGCACAGGGTAAAAATACGCACTGCACTTTTTTCGCGCGCTTTGTTTGAATTCATGATGGCACCAGGTGTTGGTTGTTGGCAACATTGAGTTTCACTTGTTGACGAAGTTTTGTGCGAAGTGGATGTGTTTTGACGGAATTATGAGGCAAGTTCACTTTTCATGCGAAAAAGATCGATTTTTTTAGTATTTGTATTGTCTGTTGTGAGTAAAATAGTTGATGGAGAAAATCTGACAGACACTGTATCAAAATGTTATGGTGTTGGCTTTAATAATTCGTGGTTGTTTTCACACCTAGCGCCTTGGGCTCAAAGTTTTAGTTTATGTTGTCCAATGTTTACAAATGGGGCAAGAGTACGCAGCCAGAATGGGGCAAAAGTACGCGCCCAAAAGTGGGGTGTAGTGGGGGAGGGGGGTATAGGAACTTCGAAATAGAGGATAAAGGCAACTTACTAAGTATCTTAATAAATTTTTATGTTCCTTTCTTCAATTTGGGCAATTATACTTTTTTATTTTCCTGTTTAAAAAAAATTGACTTCGAAAATTTTTTGGGAACTTGCAGGGACTGAATTATTTTTTTTTCCTCAGTAAAAGTGGTTAGGCACTATTGGCACCCTTTGAGACCAGTTTCAGTCGTTTTTCGGGATTTAACAACGATTTGGAGCCCAGGAGATGTTTTTAAAAGAAAAATTTTACCTGCGTACTTTTGCCCTATTAAATGGGGCAAAAGTACGCAGGTAAAATTCACGCATTTTCGCATTACGCATTTTCAAATTTTCAAATTTTTTTAAAAAATTCGTCACGGCCATGGATTTGATTTCTAAATTCGGACAACGCAGGGCATTTGTGCGCGAGGGCTTGCAGTAGGTGCCTGACCACTTTTCCCGCCTTAAAAGTCGATTCGGTCACGAAAATACGGGAAAAACCAAAAAATGCGTACACTTACCCTCACCTACCCTATCGTGTTTCTTTTGTTTTGTTTTTTGTCATCCTGTTTAATCCTGACAGATTTTTAATAGCCATCTATGTGCACAGACAAATAAAATTATATTTATTTGAATTCATTCATTTCTCCTAAGGCTTAAATGAGGGCCCTGAGCAAAATTTCAGTCCTTAAATCATATTTAGGGGTCCCAAACCTGCCTTTTCTATTTTTATGGGATTCCCCTTAAGGATTTGATGGAGATTGTAAAAACAGCCTTTCTCTCGGCTTTCGTGAATGGAAAATTTCAGGATTCATTCAAAGATCAAAAGTTTTCAAAAACTAATTTTGCAAAGTCTCAAGTGCATGATACACATATTGTATTAATGCAGGTCATAAAGTATGAAAGTGGAAGTACTAGTAATAATCTAATCTGAGATCTTTCTAAATCAATCATGATTTCAATTGTGTTTTATCAACATAACATTTGAGAAATGTAACATTTTATCAGACTGAGAATAGAGTGCTAAGAGTCCGTGGTGAGTAATGATCGTTTAATGCTAGCAGTATCACAGCTGAGTAATGAGCTAACAGATAAGGCAAATGCAAAACTGGGGAATGTGACAGATAAGCATTCCGCACCATGAAAATGCGTTCCAGCACTTAATAATGGCTTAGGATGCAGGAAAAAATACATTATATGCACTGATTAATTAGACCGATTTAACATGAATTGATTTAACTAGAGGAGAGATTGCCTAATTTTCACTCAGGTTTTTTTCTTTTTGAAAAAAATAGACAACACTAAAACTCGAAATTGAGCGGGTGTACTCTTCATGAGCCGATGTCACACGATCAAATCGGTCCATCAAATCTTCACAGTCAAAAGCTGTGATTGTTCCGAGTCGTCGAATAAGCCAATCACACCACCTGACCTTGATACTGATAGCATGGTTTCATGGTATGTCGTCAGCTAAAATCTAGGGTAAATTCACAGAGGGTTTAAAGGGGTCAAGTAATTTAGTTCTCGGTTGACAAAATAAAACATGGGAGAAAATTAAGCAAAATTAGGCAAAAATTAGGCAATGTTAAATGCAGTTGGGCTCGGTCCATTTTCCACGGAGAGCACAAATTTGATGAGAAAACAGGTCCAAGGCCATCATACAAACGATGTATCTCCATTTCGGTGTTTCAAAATTTGGTTTCCTATTTTATTTATTCGAGGAGAAACAAACCAGTCAGATATTTTAAAATCCATACAGAATATTTTGCTAATAAAAAGGAAAAATTCCAGAGGATTTTAAGAAAATACTCCGACCTGTTTCCTAAAGCAAAAACAAAGAACTTGAAACAGGAAGTCTGCAACGCCACAAACGAAAATATGTCATTCCGCACTTAGGCCATCAATATCTTTTGATGCTTCAAACCTTAGAGGTCTGTACAGGTAGAGGTTTCACGATGATTTAATTACCAAAAGTCCTTGGGTGAACCCAGCCACATGGCCGGTATTAGCCCCACAGCAAAGATGAGAAACCACCAGCAGAAACCAACCGACGGGAACACCACAATGAGGAGATCTTGAACCAACTGCGCTGCCAGCAAGAGATACACGATACTGGCACCAAACAGCGTGATCTGCATACACACAGAGACTAAGTAACTGGAACAAAATGCAACCCATTCAAAATAAAAATGTATTTCTGTTGCCGGTAAAATCACACAAAATAAAAAAAAGCAAAGAAACAAAGGGGGGGGGGGGGGGAGTGTCATTACTTCTGAAGGGTGGTAAACTCATGAATTCCGCCCTGATTTCCTGACCTAGAATGATATATTAACGTTATTATAACGATATTAACGTTTTTATTTAGAACTGGTTACAAAAAATTTGAATTTCCTGCTTACAAGAAAAATCATGGTCTACTTGAATCACATCGCGCATTACGACGATATCGGTAGGCTTTCTAATCCAACAGTGTTTCATCCCTGCCCAGTTGTTCATGGAGTAATTAGTGTACAGCAACTGAGTTGATGCACCAAGATCGAGATTGCCATACTTTTCGGAATGAAAGGTTCGATTTATGTCCAGAAATGAGGGAGTGCATAAAATGACCCGGGTGCATCAAATTTTATTCTGGTGTCCTTTATTTGAATTACATTTAGCAACTGAAATTCTGTCCCTGGCATTTGCAAAAGCACCTGTCTGCATGAAATAATAATAGCACATAGGTTGTTCCAATTGAAAAATGTAGTTCATTTGATTATCAGTCTGCTAAAACAACAAATGAGAACTGCAAGTGCTGGTTGAGCTATTCCTAATGGACTCACATTGTCCCCCTTCAGCTTTTATGTAACATTTGGCAGACTTTAAACAGAAGATGAGACAAAAATTATCTTTTTGCAGAGACCGTTTTGCAAAATTCTTGACCTTTGCCCATTTTAATTTCTCTCTGCCGGCTTTGACCTTTCAAGAGATTACGGCGATAAAAATACTGAGTTATTCTACAGGGTGATAGCAAAGTCCTGCACCTCCCTTTCAGACCTCCAAGATCTTGCACTTTTTCGGTGAGGTCTGCTTAAAATTTTGGGGGTTCCCAAAAGTTGTTTCCTTTGACCTAGTAGTACTTGCAAAATTGCAAGACTTCATCTCGATTTGTTCAAAAGTTACAGGAGCGGTGGTGCCTGGTGCAGAACTTTTGGCTCACTCTGTACGTTATCACCTTATTGATTCTATTGGTTACTTCCCATCAGAGAACCGATTCAAATTCTGACTAGAAGACGTGGCTGACGGAGATGATACGTATCAAATTCTGAAATGGCAAGATTCGGGTCTATCAGAGTAGCTCATCAAAAAAATTGCGTGCGAAAACTGGATGACATTTCGTTGCTCCTCTGATGTAAAGACGTATCTTGATTCCCGCATGAGCCCGAGAGAGAATGAATTTGAACGTGACCCAGAGCTCCACGGAAATTGAGATACGCCCTTATGTCAGAGAAGCAACGATTTATTCAAATTGATTATTTTCATGTCTCTTGATTTAATTCTTTCCTTATTTTCCGAAAAGAAAAATTATTGAGCATGCGTTTTTTCATTCCTTGTTTCTAAAAAATTCTAAAAAAGCAAAAAATACTCACATTAAAAAGGTAAACTATGTTAAAAGTTTCTTGGTTATTATTCCATTAGGTGAAACCACCAGTTACAGACACCTTCAAAAATGTGACCAGTTATAGACACCCTTCGTCTAAATATGGTAATAATAAGAAAGAAGTGACTCGGTTCTTTGTGTTGTTGTTTTAATTCAACCCACATTCTCAAGTGAGTTGAATTAAAAACAACAACACAAAGAACCGAGTCACTTCTTTCTTATTATTACCATATTTAGACGAAGGGTGTCTATAACTGGTCACATTTTTGGGGGTGTCTGTAACTGGTGGTTTCACCTTATTTCCTATCAAACTATGAAAATTTCCAATTTATCAATTGAGTTGTCCACATTATTATTGAACTTCCCCAAACTTTATCAAATTTTCATTGAGATCCATCAAAGTTCAAGAGTTTGATCAGATAGATTGAACTGGAGGAATCAGCCTAGCTGAATCTAATTTTGCCCAAGTTTTTCTCATGTTTTGTTTTATTTTTTTGACAAAGAAGTAGGTAAACTATTTTGTAGCGCCATTAAGTAGTAAGTAAGTAAGTAAGGTAAACTATTTAATGCCTTTAAAATTCTAGATTGTGAAAAAAACACTCACAAAATATCAAGTTTCAATGTTGCTTGGTTTTCTATTTGACAGTGAGACATCAGAGAAAATTACGCATATTTAGCTTTAATCGTTGAAGTGCAAAACAATGTATTTTCATTGTAGTGAAGATAAAGAAGATTCAGTCTCACAATTTCCGCTCCTACTTTATTTTTTCGAAGAGGAACAAGCTAACTTCACAGCTTGAAGATGATACAGAATATTCTGCTCAGAGAGAGGAAAAACCCAGGAAGTTTTAAAAATTACATTGACTACTTATCCGGAGAAAAAATAAAGTACGACAGGAAGTCTACAATGTTGTGGACGGTGATATGTGATTTCACATTTTAGCCATCCATATCTCTTCTCCTTCATTTTTCATTGATTCAAAATCAAAAAAATTCATTGATCATTCATTTTTTATTGATTAAAATGGACTGAAAATAAAAAGCTTAGAATGGCGAATGATGAGAGATTTTTACCTGCCCCACTTTCCGACAGCCCTTTCTGCAATAGTGGCATACGGGTTGCGTGTGTTCCCCCTGTACTCAGGGTACCGCTCCTCCAGTATTGCCCAGCACTCTCCAAGACGAGAACCGCCGTACCCTGCATTGATGCAGCAGATGATCACGATGAAAATTCCTATCCAACCTGATATGAGAAAAAGATTTGACTGAGCTCTTTTTTTTCCACATAGCATTTTACATAACTGAAATGTTACATTATAAGGCAATGATATTGTAAAAATTACTACTATTTGTTGCAATATTGCGGTAAGTAATTTTTCCTAAACTTGAAACCTAATTTTTTTCCTTATCTATAGCTTTGTCTTTATTTTTATAATCAGCCAACCGGTGATCCTTATTTTGCTGCCAAGCTAAGGAGGAGTATCATATGCATTTCTGAATACTGCCACAGTTTTTCAGATAAAAGACATATTTTCTTAGGGATATGGGAATACTTTTTCTTCTTCTAATTTTCAAAGAATTGTATTCAATCATTGATTTAATGTATCAGAAAGTTTGGAGGAGAAATATTCATATAACGCTTTTCAAAAAAGAGAAGAAAAAAAGTTACAGAAGGAAATTTGATGACGTTTGAATGTTCATAGCAGCATGGCTGACAGGTTGTAAGGAAAAATCTTGATATTTTACACGAGTTAAATAGTAAAATGCGCTAAATTCTCAGTGCAATCTGGTAACATTCCTGACAGTTTAGAACTCGAATTGATAACAGAACTGATGGAAAAATTATTTATTCATGTGAGGTGCAATCAGGATTCAGAGATTATAAAATAAAGCTTGAATAAAATAATATAAAGTGATAAAACCGCAGTGCAGATAGTGAGCGAGTAAAGAGGAAACACTCTGTTGCTGGGCAGAAAAAATGAATTCAATTTAAATCTGAATACGGGAGATATCTCAGATGACCTTGATAAGGGCCCACAACCAGCTGATAAGTGCTTCCTAGCTTGTGAAAGGTCGGATCAGTGTATCATTCACTTATACTATTTAGAACACTCAAGCTTCACAAAAAGAAGAGAAAAAAAAGAAGATTGAGATGAAATTCTTGGCAATATTTTCAATCTGTTCACAATTTCGTGCGATAGCAAATGGCATCAGCGATGCAAGAAGCAGAGAAATAAAATAATCTGATAATCTTAACAAAGTTGCAAATTTGACATCATTGGACAGATATAATTGTAAGTGGAATGAGAGTACTTGCATTTCAGGCTGCATAATTATCTTGCATGTTGTATTTTTTTGACAGAGAATTAAACAACTTAACGCTAGAGTACTTATATATTTAATGCTACTTAAGTGTAGTACTAAACGTACACTGCGGTGTTTGACAAGCTGTTTTTCAAAACTACTGTTATTTACCTTAGTTAACGATAGAATTCTGCTTACTTGTACTCTAAACTATTTTCTGCTTTTCTGCACTGTTTTGTCTTAAGTTTTTGACCAGAATTTTAAAATTACTCTGTTTCAAAAACAAGAACAGAACTATTTGAGGCCCAATTTAAGCTGTTTGCCAGGTATATGAGTTGATTTTCAATGGCTGACTTGACCTGGATCGATTCTAGTTTTTTCCGGAGAGAGGAATAATAATTTAATTATTCCACTTTGAACGGTGTAGGCTACTTAATTTCTCGATTAAAAGTTGATTTTGAAATTTTTGAACAAGTTCAACATTTTTTTATACAATTTTGACTAATGCTCAAATGCGTTCTCTTGAAATGCTCGAATTCTTGCCCTGCGACAGGGTGCTGAAACTTCTTGATCTTGTGATTATGATATGCAAGGCCAAGGCAACTCATGTGCAAAATGGGAAGGCTGTGGAAACTGAGAGGGCCAGCTAACAAAAAGTGCAGTAGTGTTGGAGTCATCGTTGAATTTGCGTGTCTTTCACAAAATTGTGGGGATTCGTGAATACAGAACAAAAAAAAGGGTCATAGTTTTAACAATTTTGGGAGGAATAATGGAATTTTTCACTCACCGGAATCTACGACAGCTTTGGGTAATGCAAGTACACCACTTCCTGCCATCTCTCCTGCCACAAAGACGGCTGCGGTGAGAACATTGATTCCGGCATTCTGAGGAGCTCCAGTTTCAAAATTAGGACTTCTTGCCTGGGAAAATTGAAAAGTCATAGATGAATTCATGGAGAGGGAAACAATCATGTTCAGCAAGTTTCCAGAGATTGAGGAAAATAAATCCCACCTTTTTACAGTATAAAAATGAGAAAAACATAGGAAACTTCTAGAACATCTACTGTAAGCAGTTATTTTTGTTGGGAAATTAATTTTAACAATTTTTAAGTACTGAAATTCGTTAAGTTTCTTTCATAAAAAACACCGGAATGTTAAACAAATTTATTTTTCAACAGCATTTATAAGTGAAAGGAGGCAAAATTGAAAAAATGGGCGTGGTGTAAGATTTGGGAGAATTTCATTGAGATAGGTATGACCCCTTTAACAACTGAGTTTCGATGAAGAGGGATTTCTAATCATGTACAACTCTGCCGTACTGATGAAAAATGCCGTACTTATGAGTCTTCAGATATTGCCAAACTTTCTTTGACTAACCTTGCATTTATGGGAGAATTTAGGAATATTTAATTTCCAAATTTTCAAAGAATCTTATTAGTAATTTGATCAAAAGTGTTCGAAAATTTTAATGAAAACGTCCATAACTTTCCTCAGATATAACGATGGCGCAAGTCCACAATCACATATCTTGTCTATCTCTGCCTCTATGTTATTTTTTTAAAGGAGAACAAATTGACATCATTTCTTGAATTTTATACAGAAATTTCTTCGCACAGAGAAGAAAAATCACGGCAGTTTTAGAGAATTGCCGTTGACTAATTTTCCGATTAAAAAATAAAGTATGACAGGAAGTCTGTGACGTCGCAAACCGAGTAATAAGATTGCCGACTTACACTGTCCATAAGTATTATTGAAAGTGAATTTGACAACATTCAAATATTCATACAATGTTTCTCCTCAGGGCAGCAGAACTGTCCAGAGAAAAAAGTATACCCAAGTTCACTACAACTTGAATAGGAGTTATCGATATCAGAGCATGCAGATACAAAACTGTTCTGCAAATACAACAGGTACCTCAGTTAGTAAGTTCCGTCATTTTATCTTTCCACAATTATTATAAATAGAGCAAAATTGTGGAGTATAATATGATGGTCTTTTTCTAGTGGAGGAGTATGCTAGATCATACAAGACTTGACCTGTGGATGACAGAAATGTTCCGTTTCTTCCACACTGATCTACATTTTCAACACCTCTCAGCAAGACCAATTCCACACAGGTTGGTCATTCTCGTGGAAGAGTTTTGAGACCCTACTGTGTAATAGGCCTGAACATTTAGATGCGATGCATTTCTTGTGAGAGCAGCCGATATGACATCACACTGGTTGCAGTCATACAGGACTAGGCGAGGGAGTGGATCCCAAAGAGATGCGCAACGACAGATCTGAGCAGATCGCACATTCTAGTGATTATATGACTTACACTCCAGTTAGGGAGCCTACAGCGGACTAACAACAAATTTTAATTTACAGGTTGGTTATGTGGATACTTAAGACGTGGAATAGGAATCGTTGCAGGGATTTAGGGTAGGAGATTGAACTAGAGGACCAACAATGGCTTCACGCCTAGAGGCCCAAAACGGAAATTGATAAATGCACTTTTGGCAGACATATTTGACATTCTTTCTTGTAATCCATACCTGGTACCTCCATCTTTGATATTGGTATTTGAGAGGGTCAATCATGCTTTAAAGTTAGCCTGTCATTCAAAATTAAGTGCACTCTACCTACCTATCATGGGAGCTTGCTGGAATTAGCCTAGTTGGAACATAACAATGGTGAAACTACCAGACCATGTATCTTGGTTTGCGATGTTGCAGACTTTCTGTCATGCTTAAATATTCAAAGGGAATCATTCAAACTAATCAGCGTCCATTTTTGAAAACTTTAGTAACTTTTCTTCTCTGTGCGAAGAAACCTCTGTGAAAACTTCAAGGAATAGTACTGACTTGTCCTCCTACAAAAAAAAAAATGGGGGTAGAGATTGTCGTTTGGTGGTTTCACCATCCATATGGGAAAGTATCCCAACAACCGAACTATTTTCGATATAAAACATAACTGTATAAGTTACCGATACTGAACCTCCAGTTACCGGACATTGGTTTGGATACTTAGTCGGAACTTACATTTGCATTAGTGGAAGGAGATGCACTGTCGTTCGATGGCTCATTGATGCGGAGGGGAGTTCGAGGACTGGTCGCCTGGTAATCCGGCTGTACGGAATCCTTCAACCGCTCCATGGGCACACGGTCAACTCATAACAATATCCAAACACAGGGAGGCGATGCCAATGCTGCCGTTTTTGGTCCACAAGATAGAGGCTGCGCTGCAGGAACAATTACTGTGCATGCTCGATCGGACCGAAGCTTCGAGATGCAGAAATCACGCGATCGTGTGGTTGTTATCTAATGAAAAGCTCGTCAAGATACTTACACAGCGCGAGGAAAACTGAGTCGATCGCACATTAGCTAGAATAACCGTGGGGAGCGGAACGGTACAGCACATGGAAACTAAAGAGAAATTACAAACTGACGGCAGGGACAGCCGAGTTAATTGTTTTCGATGAGCGAAGAACTCGTCCTCTTATCACAAAACGGACGCCCCACGCAAGTGATTGCAAGATAAGATTTATCAATCTGACAGCGCGCGAAACCAATGCGAAACACGAATAGTCAAAGACAACAAGCGAGTGAGTGCCAAACTTACGATTTTTGGATTTTTACAAACTCTTTTTGACAGGGATATCTGAGTTGATAAGTTGATAAAAAGGCTCGGCGCGTTATATTTGTTGGATATTTAACGATTTGACAACGCTCACCTGTTACATAATTAGCAATATGTACTCACAGAGTTGCGAAATTTCATGAAGGATTCCAAGATGTTTCACGATAAAACTTCATGAAAGATTCTAAGATGAAATTTCACGATATTTCATGAAAATTAATTCACTTTTTGAAACTTTCTAGATTACACCTCCACCTCCTAGAGACGTTTTTCCATTCCACTCAACCGATACATCGAAAGCAGTTGTGGCGCGGTAAGATCCTTCTCAAGACGTCCGACCACTCGATTAATCGATTAATTGATAGTCGAAATTGATTTACGCTACTAATGATAACAGATAACATAACAAACAAACTGCAATTGCGAACTGCGAAGTTACAAGTTAGGAAGTTATTTCAATTTCAGTCCTTTGAAAGGATCATGATTCTTAACGGTTTGTTTCCATTTTACGGTGAAAATCAATTTTTCACTCTGAGGTAGTGTCATGTGCATTATGCAAATACTCGACGATGAGTTTCTTCGGGAAAAGTTCCAGACAAAGTAGGAGGAAGAAAGACGAATTCAAAGCGATGTTTGAGAGAAAATTCTGTCTGGTAAGGGAGCTCAGGAATATTCTCTCATGTTTAAATAATTTTCTTGAAAAAATTAACCGTAAATGGGAGTATAAAATTGACATGGACTTCTTGCCATGAAGGAACACCAGCAACTGATCGTTGAAATTTTGTGATTGTATCAGACAAGATAAAACGGACAAGACAAGTATTAGTAGACAAATGCTAAAATGGAGTTATGTGGTTGGTCAGCTTTATTAGTTGTCCTCTGTCGTGTGTATGTCTGGCTGTGTCAGTTGCAAACTATCGGCAATTCGTGAGGTGCCTTTACAATTTCTCGTGGATACCAAACAACGAAAAGAACAACTGATAAAGCTGACGAATCTCATAACCTCATCCAGATCAGATTCAGATTTCAATTATTAATAAAGAAAATACATAATACAGTAATTAAGTTAAAGCCACTACAAAAAAACTCACCAAGAGTTCTAGCCTCGTGCGGCTAAAGTAGTACAACATATCGACGGTGCAAGTCGGTAATCACATAACTTGGTTTGCGACGTCGCAGACTTCCTGTCATACTTTATTTTTTAAATGGAAAACTACTCAACGGCAATTCTTTAAAACTGTCATGATTTTTCTTCTCAATGCGAAGAAAATTCTGCAAAAACTTCAAGAAACAATGTCAATTTGCTCTCCTTTAAAAAAAGGATGTAGAGGCGGAGATTTTCAGACACCGCAAACGAGTTATGTGATTGCCGACTTTCACCGTTGATATACTATTTATGACAGAAACAAAAGAGCTCATATCAGACGAGTCCCTGTCCCCTGTCATATCCCTGTCCCTAGTTGCTTTAAATTGCTCATCCGGTCGGCGAAGACAATTTTTCCACAACCACACTGTTGACAAGGTCCTAGCAGATAAACAAACTAAAGTACCTACATACTTGCCCCAGCAATTGACCTGTCCTCGGTGAAGATACATTTCTCTAATTTTGTGAAACAGCGCCACAACTGAATGGACCACAACCCTAGAATCATGGTATAATATCGACATGATTGAAATCAACCGTAGTTGTGACAAGAGCTTTTGAAGTCAATGATAAAATTAAGTTCTTGTCTTAGTGAGCAGAAAAATGTGAGAGTTACCTAACAGTTTCCATGAGATATTCATTCTAACACGATGTGTGTTTGTTTCAATTTTTCAGGCCAAGTCAGATCCAGAACCCACATTTGATCTAAGTGGATGTGGACTTGAGACTGTGCCATCGGCTGTTTTTAAGTTTGTTGCTGTCCTGAGAAAATCAGCTCTCTTTTTACAAGTACCTACCTAAGCTTCATTTTCAGTAGCTATTAAGTTGCTATTAGTGTCTTGAGTAGGCTCATAATTCAAAGTGAAAGACGAAGAAGTCAAAAGGAAATTGGTGCTATCATTTTGGTGGAAGCCAATGGCTGCAATTGTTGAGGAAGCTAAGTAATAGACTAACTAATGGCAACCCAAGAGAGACCTTGCAATTGGACCACGTTTAACAGAAAGGAACCAAGCCACATCAGTTATTGTCAAATTTAACTGATCAATATAATTTTTTATGAGAGAGCGTTTGTGCGGATACCTTTGTAAATTTTAAGGAATCTGCCTTGTAATATGGAGGAAATTCACTGAAATTTGCACGAAAATCTGTACACCCGTTTTCATGTAGAAAATTAAATTGATCAGTTAAATAGTCGGCAATAGTTGATGTGACCTGGTTCCTCTCTGTTTGCAGTCCAAATAAGTTCACGCATTTGTAGACTGTGACAGAAGATCCTCTGTCATCACTTTTACACGTAAAGTAAATGCAGGAAGCAAGATGGCTGATCTTCTGTCGCAGTTTAAAAGTGAGTAAATTTATTTGGTGTGGACTCTACCAATGGCCCAATAGTGAAATCCCCCATCTCCGTTGCAGTGGTTCAAAATTTCTGCTTCTTTTTAATTTTTCAAAGAGAAACAAGCCAACTTCATAGCTTGGTATTCTTGCAACATTTTCAGCAAACAGATGTGGAAAATCAAGAAATTACATTGACTAGCTCCACTAGAAAAAAACTAAAGTTTGATAGGAAGTCTGCAATATTGCAAACAGCAATACCATCAAAATATCAAGGGTAGGTGTTGTGATTGGCTTATTCGATAACTTATACCAATCACAGCACTTGACCTTGACATTTTGATGGAGTATTTTGTTAGTGTGACACAGGCTATTGTTTTGCACATGGGTGATTGATATTTGGACCGCATTAAACAGAAAGGAACCAAGCCACATCAGTTATTGCCAAATTTAACTGGAAAATTTAATTTTTTACATGAAAACGGTTGTGCGGATTTTTGTGCAAATGTCAGTGAATTTTCTTATAGTACAGAACAAATTCCTTAAAATTTTCAAAGGAATCAATAACGTTCTCTTGTAAAACCGGTATAGATCTCTCGCCGTAACTCCAACTTAATATTCCAATGCAAACTGCCTGAGCTGAACACTCTCCCCCCTCAGTTTTGTACTGGTACCTATTAGAGTTAAAAAAATGTATTTTTGACTCAAATTATAATTTTTGGAACTTCCTGGCTTTGTTTTCCCGGCAAAATGGTGTGGACCCAGCACCATTTCTCCACCTTGTTGCGCGTTGTTTTTAAATTGAGCCAGAAATTGTATGTGTTTTTACGGAAGAACCAGTAATTGTAGTTTCTAATTGCAAAATGAAGTCCCATTGCAGATGGAGAGAATTGCATTTAAGTCTGTGCTTTGTATTTTAAACTGTTGCATTTTCGAGTATGATGAATGATGGATGATTTTCTTTCAGAATAATGAACTAACATCATTCGGGAGCAAAGGGAACATGAAAGACCTGGAGCTTCTAGAAACTTTGATTTTAAGCACCAACAAATTGACCATTGTGCCTTCTGATATCATTTTATTGCAATATTTAAAAGTAAGTTTTCACACTATTGATCAATTGTTTAGTTGCACCCTCTCTTTTTAATTCATTCACTGAAAGTACCTACCAGGCGAATTAAGCTCCTAAGAATTTTTTCAGGTTCATTTTAACTGTAAGTGGCAAAGGATAGTCGTTTTTAACATGGCGAAAATGGAAACCATTTGAAACAATATTTTTGGCTAGCGCTGAAGACGCAATTCGGCAGGGGAAACTGCGTTTTCTGGTTGGCTGAACTCATACTCAGACATGCTTTGAAACTACATCAACTGGTCTGTCAGCTTTTGATCGGTCGGATTTTGATTAGCTTTTTCTCCCCCTCAAAATCATTTTTTGAACTTTATAAGAAACTTTTTGGCTCCTCACAAAATTTCACGCAGGAAATACTAGACTACAGCCCTGCGAAAATTCTTTGCTACTGAAGGCTTATTATTGAAATTGATAGACAAAGCTGTAGACAAAGAAGACTAAAGAGATATGAAGAGATTCTATCGGTGGAAGCAGGTAGTTGCAATGGACAAAGGAGGTAGGTAATGGAGTTAGTCCTTCAGTCAGTCCATCATTTTCTCCCCTAGTTTGTAAGAACCACCAGTTTCAACCAATAGGATCCCCCCATACTCCTTATGTCTTCTTCGTCTATCGCTTTGTCTATCAATTTCAATAATCAGCCTGTTAGTCCATCAAGATTGTTTGTTAAAATTTGTCAAATATTTAATCTTTTGTAGATTAACAGGAGGAAGCAATTCTAATTGATAGTAAATGTCACAGATCCTCCATGATTTCATACCTCTATCTTTTATTTTTAATCTTGCTTCTTCTTGTCCCATTTCTTTCAAGATTCTAGATTTAAGTCGAAATCAGCTTGCAAGCCTCCCTGATTCGATTTGCGAGCTCAAGAGTCTGGAAGATATGAATCTATCTTCGAACAAGCTTTCAAAACTGCCAGTGAACATAGGAAGACTGACCAAACTATCACGACTTGATGTCAGCAACAATGCAGAGTTGAAGACACTGCCTTCATCATTGCATCATGCAACAGTGCTTGTTGAAATAAACTGGAGCCAGAACCAGGACTTCACGTTTCCTCCTCAGGACATTATGCGTCAAGGGCCTGCTCGAATTTTGTCATTCCTTGCTCAAGGTATTTTTCGCCATTTATTCATCTCTTTCGTTGCAAGGTTGCAAGGATCAGAAAAAATTGAAGAAAGTCAAAGAATTTGAAAAATTTGAAAAGACACAGGGAAATATTGGACATGGTATATAGAATAGGAAAATTTGTGTTGATTGACTTTATTCTTTTTGCATTTAATCTTTGCACAGATGAAAGAATGTGGCTTATTTTATTGTTGCAATATTTCCCCTCGTCAAATATAATTTTATTTAACACTTGTTGAGAATTTTCAACGAAAAGTTTTTCAGACCCGCCGCCTCAGTTTTAATTTTTTAAGATTTTCAAATAAAAAAAGGGGGGAGGGAAGATTTTTTTTCCCGACTCCAAGCAGAAGTGAACTTTTTAGAAGGAAACTTACGTACGTACATAATCTTGTAAAAAATATATTTTTTGAAATTAAAGTTTGCAATGTTACAATAAAGCTAGGTACACTCCTTTGTCTGGGAAACAGGAATATCTGCAGATAAGTCTGTCAAGCTGAAAAGTGCATAAGCAGGAATTTCATTTAAAGAATCATCCATCAGATAGAATGGATCTATGGGAAGGCTAGAAACATCAAAGGGGCTTTGTAATTTTATGGGGCCGTAAGTGGTTTTTGCATGTGCTCTTTGTCCACTTTCTCTCCGTGTCTTCTCTCTCCTCCATTTCTTCTCTCTTTTCTCCCCCCCTTCTTTTCCCCTCTTGCGTTTTCTGCGCCTTCTAATTTCATTTGCTCATGCTTAGCAATTTTTTTTTTTCACATTTAAATTAAATGTGATGTGGTGACTTTTATTTGTTATGACTGGTATCTTTGCTCAATGTATTCCAACACACTCACGAAATCGTGTTTTGCTTTCTGACCAATATAGAATGTGATTCAGGCTGTGATATAAACTCAAACGAAAATCTTCATTTGAAAAATTCCTCAAAAAACGTGCCCTCACCTGTGCTGCTGCAACACGAAGAGATGGAGGTTCGTTCAAAGTGTTCGAAAGTTAATTCATTTTTGGCCAGTTTTCATGAAAATTGCCTTATCATCTGTGAGGGATAGGTATTTTCACTAAAAACAATCTCAACTACATACATTAACCAGAAGCTGGCTAACTATATTTAAGGGACTTGGAGGACAAGGGGCATAAGTGCAGTTTCTGAAAAAATTAAGACATCGATGATTTTAATTAAAACTAGTCTTAATACATATTCTATGAAAAATTTGCTCTCAAATTCCAATGTTGACGCACAAAAAAGTCAGTTGGAACTATCTTTCCACCGTAAAGATTCATGTTATTTGGAAACTTCAAACACATATTTCTTGAAATAGTAAAAACTTTACCTATGTGCCTTATCCTCCAAGCCCCTAATTTCGTGTTGCCTGATTCCTTCTTTTATTTTATTTTTTACTTGAAAGCCATGCAACATTCTGCCTAGAATTTTGTGAAGACATGTGTTATGATCCAGAGGAGCTTAGTAGGAATTCGCAAGATGTTATGTTGCACGGAAAAAAAATGAAAGTGCTGATCTAACAATTTTGTAGTTAAAAGAAGTGTCCGACATGTGTCAATGTAGATTTTACAAAAAAAATGCTAATTTAACCACCGATGAGGTTAAATTAGCTTTCTGCTATTGTAAAATGTACATTTGAAACATGTCGGACATATCTTCTAAACAATTTAATTGTTAAATCAGCAATCCATTTTTTTCCGTGTGTTTGGTTTTTCTGTCCAAAAAAAATTGAGAAGAAATAAGGCAATACATGATGTAGTTAGGCTAATTCTGGTTGATGACGTCCATTTTTCTTGAGCTTCCCCCTCCCCCCTTCCTCCAAGTCCTCCCCCAAGTAAGTGACAAATTTTACAGAGCTCTGTAAGTTTCCTTTTAAATTAAATGGTGGGATTTAACCGAAAGTAGTTTATCTACCTTAAGTATTGCCTAATTTCTCTTAGGTTTCATTCTTTTAACAGAGAACTAAACTTCTTAACGCCTTAAAACTTTTTGTGAATTCTCCTCAGATTATGAAGAATGTACTCACAAAATGTCAAGTTTCTGTATTGCTTAGTTTTTTGTAAAAGAAAAATAAAACATCGGAGAAAATGAGTTAACCTCTCATGTAGTTAGGCTTATTCTTGCCAGTTCGGTCTTATCACAAGCAGAAAGTTAGATTCGACTGACAACAGTTAAAGCGGCAGACGGGTGCTTTCAAATAAGCGTCTAATTCAGTGTCCCCAGCTGTTTTCATTGCTGTAATATGACAACAATGGTCAAATCACATTTTTTTCTAATTTATCATACTACTGTTGACTAACACACACTATTTTCTACATTAAGTATTCAGACTAAAATCAAAATTTAGCAGAATATTCAATGTGCAAATTACCCTAATTCTCAAAGCGGGTCCCCTGCACCTGGTTCTGGATTTTAAACAGATATTGCAGCACAACTAGAGTGATTAATTGGGAACACTGCACTGGAAATGGAAGAAATTTAGATTTTAGAAAGAAAAATAGGTCTGTTTTTTTTATTTTATTTTATCAATAACTTTTACTTGTGCTAAAATCATTATCCCCAGCAACAATCCGCAACAGTCAGGAGAGACATGGCAACAATGTAACAAGATCTAAATAATTGCAGTAACGTAGAAATTTTTCCAAAAACGACTTTTTTTGTTTCGACTGACTAGTTCACATGCCGTAGATAGCAAAAATATAGTGAAATCGCAAATTTTTGTGCAAAATACACGCCATTCAGGATGCCAAACAAAATGTGATACATGGTAACTAATAGAGCATCAAGACATACTAATATTAGGACGTAAAATATTTTCGAAGTGTGAGTTTTGCAAAAACTCATCTTATTCCGATACACCAGAATGTGTTACTATAAATTCTGTGAAAAAAAAAACACCAAAATTGTCTTTACTGTTAGGAATAAGCTTCAAAAACAGCTTATTTTCACTCTGTCCCATTCCATTGGGTCCCACCTTAGTGGGACAACTCATTTACTGGTACAACACTGAGACTTGCTTGTCTAAGCCCTGTAGGTGTTCTATTCAACCGATTTAAGTGAAATTTGGTGTCTAACGGTATTTTTAAATGGGGGCCTCAAATTTTCAGTTGAATACCCAAAATTCGAAAATCCAAGATAGCGGAGGTGGCCTTAAATTCTTTAGGGGCATATTAACAATCGATTTAAGTGAAACTGGACCGGAAAAACTTTGGTATCAAGAAAAGAAAAGAAATTTTTGTAGGGGTGCAATACTAGGTTTCTTTTGTTTTACCTAAGGCTGCAAAATCGGAAAATTCCTTGTTTTCTTCCATCATGCACAGATTTCCCCGGAAAATCGTCTTTTCTAGAAAATCTAGATTTATAAGGAAAATTCCAATATTCCCAGGGAATATCTAACTGATCCAGAAAAACGGAGGTCATTCTCAGAATCAGCACTTAAAAGCTACTCAGTATCAGTCGACAAATGTTTGGCGAATCTAAAACAAAAAATGTTGACCAGTGTAATTATTATGTGAATGCAATTCCTCAGACTTTTCCTGGCTTTATCTCCACTTCATAGGTATACATGCCCACTTGAAGTTTTAAAATTCGATGATTCTGATCCATTTCATATTGCAATATTCCAAGAATTTGAAGCTTCTTCTCGTGTTCAAGAAAGACAATGCGCATTTCGACAGACAGAACTGTCAGAAAGACAAGCAAAATAAGCCTTAGATCTCTTTCATAACTGATAAATTTTTCCTCGACTTTTTTAGTTCTCCAAGGTGTAAACGGGCTAAATTTTTTCAATTATGTGGTAATTTAGTGCTCAACGATGCTCTTATAAACATCTCGGTCCATTTTTAATGTAAAGTATTGTACATCACCTTTGAGACGAAGATTTGGAAAATCAAATGTAATCAGAGCTTTCTTGCAATAATACATTTCACAGTCAAATTTCAGGTTTTAGCTCAACTATTAAGCTTGACGACCAATGTTTCCTGATTCTACATCAAGTATTGGTCAAGATTATGTTTGTCTCACCCTTAAATTCAAAATAAAATTTTGGGGGAAAGTTGGACCTTAAATTAGAACCTTATTTGAAAACACCTAGATGCTGGTCTCTCATTTATAAGTTGATTTTACACATTTTGAACACACGCAGAGTATTGTATATGGAATTTTAATGAGGATATGTCACTTTCAGTGCTTTAATCGGATTGAATTCAGCAGGAGAGAACCTAGTCAATTACAGTGTTTTCAAAATTGTGTGGATTTTTTTTTACTTTGAAAATGCCAAATGTATAGTAATAAAATCCATACAATCGTTTTGCTTTGAAATTGACACATTCTTGATAGAAAAACGAAAACGATTTGCTGTTCTAGGCTTTATTCTTGGTAAAGATAATTTTTACAACACAGTCATAGCGTTGGTTCTCTACTGCTGAGTGAGATCTATTTCTTACCTTGTCTTTTAAAGTTTAGGCCATGACCTAGAACAAGAAACATTAATCCAAGGGCATCTATCTTTTTTTTTTTCAGGCGAAATTAAAGTTACAAGAACAACTCCGAGTAAGTATGTTTCTTTCTTTCCAATGCACCTTTCAACCCATAAGTGTACAAACAAGCATTCAAAAGTACAACACGTACTTTTGAGAGTAAAAAATTCCCCAAATATGTGAGTAATGCTTATTTTTGTTTCAAAGTGCACATCTGGCAGCTGATGACAAGATATAGTAAATGGCGCTGCTGACGGTATTTTTAAAAAGAATAACAAGTACCTTTGAGGTTGTTTCTCTATGAATATTCATCCTTATTTTGGTAGAAAGCAATAATGCATCAACTTATATGTTACTATGCAACTACTATGCATACTATGCATACTATGCAACTATGCAACAGAAAGCAACTTGGCAATAATGTTTCTGAATTACATGGAGTTAGTTAGTGGCAAAATTATTGGAGTCTGATATCTGAGGAATAATATTTGAGTCTCTTTTTTCTCCGTTTGATCTTGATGGGACTTTAGACAAAGTAATAGACAAAGAACAGAAGAAGAATGTGAAGGGATCCTATTGGTGGAAGCGGGTGGTTGCAATGGACAAAGGAGGTAGGTAATAGACCAACTGATGGCAACCCAGGAGAGACTCTAAAGTAAGTCGATCATTTACTCCCTTAGTCTATAAAAACCATCAATTTCAACCAATAGAATTGCTTCATACTCCTTACATCATCTTTGTCTATTGCTTTATCCATCAGTTACAACAATCAGCCTGCAGGTCTAGATGACTACTTCAAGGCAGTTGCACATGTCTCATTTCTCTTCACGGTAAAGTTGTGTTAGAAATTCTCTATTTTTTATCAAAAGAATTTAATTTTCAACTTATATGCTTCAGCAATATACACGAGAGTCGCAAAAAAATCTGGAAAAATCAATTTTTTACAAGCTTGCCACAATAAGTTCTCTGCTTTCAAAACCTGGAATTTTTCCTATGTGCTTACGTTTTAAAGTTTGATGTCTAAAGTTGGACAAATATTTTCTTTATTTGGTTGCAGACTGAAAGAGCCAAAGAGAAAGTGGCGTTTGAAGAAGCGCTAATGAAGCAGAAACAATCAGAGTTAGAGTGTCTACTGAGCGAGAAAGAGAAAAGGAAGAAAGTAAGTTTCATGTTGTCCAGTTTTACTCAACTATGTCCTGTGCTCAAAATTGACAAAGTGTATAGCAACATCATGCTTTCTATCCGCAAATGAATGAGCAAAACTATTCGCAACATATCATCTAGATCCCAGAGAGTCTTCTTCGTCAAAAACTCCAATTCAGAATCTGAAGACTCAACGGAACTCTATTTTGCATCAAGAAATCACTATTTCTTGCTTTCTTGTAAACGCTTCTTTTCAACGCAATGTTACAAATGGCACAAAAGTCGGCTCTAAAATGAGCGGAGATAGTGGATCCTTAATGCAAAATAAAGCTCAAATGTAGCTCTCCAGGGTGATCTAAAAATCCTGCACCACCAGCACCAGGTAATGTTTTAAAATATTTTGAAACCCTGTATTTATGATTGAAGCATTTTCACCCTGTAATACTATACAAAATTGAGATAAAGACTTGAAATTTTTTTTAGTAATCCTAGATCGAAGGAAACGACTTTTAGGATCACCCTGTAAAGGAACAAAAGCCCTAGGGGTTACAGGGGTAGTATGGGATCTTTACAACATCCTGAATGATTTGACCCTGATTTAACTAGAATCAGCCATACTGCATGAGACTTTGCCTCGTTTTCTTTAATACTTTATTTTGTAAACAGAAAACTGAATAACACAGCAACACTAAAACTTGAAATTTTGTGATCATACTTTTCATAAACCAAGAGAAATTGACGGAGTCTCAAGACGTTAAGTAATTTAGTTCTCTGTTAAAAAAAGAAAAAAAAACACAACTCAAGAGGAAGTTTGGCATTGTAAATTGTGAAATACAGTCATATGTATAGTGAAGTATAGAAGATGGTTTTGAAACATCGCATGTAGATAATTTTACATGGTACATTGTCATCCTTTTCAAATTTTCGTTGTCTGCAATTAATAAGGCTCAGATAATCTTTACTTTGGGCTCTGTTATTTGTATCTCTTTGTCCAATTTTTTTGGTTTGAATGACGTATAACTTTCTCTATTTCTATGCTATAGATGCTGCGAGATATAACAAAAGAGCAAGTCGAACTGGAGATTCGAATGAAAAACCTACAGTTGCAGAAAGAAACAGAACGCTCAGACTTACTGCTATGTCTAAAAGAGGGTAGGTATTTTATTTCTCTCCTGTTCGTCGGATGCCTGCATCCACAATCAATTTTTCCAATACGTTTTTCTTCTATTAACTTTTTTAAGATTTTCATGATTGTCTCAAAAATGGCTTGTACCAGCAGAATGAGACTGATTGTAAACTATTCTCCAAAATGCCTAATATTTCAGACAGGGCATGTCATTTATGGCCTAAGTGAAAAACCATATATCTCCATTCAAAATGTTGCAGACTTCCTATTACACTTCCGCTTTTTTTTTTTTTTTTTTTTTTTTTTTTTTTTTTTTTTTTGTTGAAAATCAGTTGACATAATTTTTTGAAAACTTCCTTTATTTTTCTCCTCTGTCAGCAGAATAATCTGTATCAATTTTTAGCTGTACAAAATATAAATGAGAAGAAGGCATGATTTCCGGCAGTCTGGAAAAATGTCAGCTCTTCAATTTCAACTGGTGCATTTTGCAGGATGGCAAAATACTTCAAGAATTGTTCAACTTTTTTTTAACAGCCAATGCTACTAGAATGTGTCAACAAGGACATTTCTCTGACCAAGTGTATCATACCTTCTGGAGGATCTTCAAACACCTATGTGGCTATGAGTTTCATGGCGTCTCGGGTTGTTTCCTGATTCCAGTTCTCCGTTGCGCCATCTGCGCCCTTTAATTGCATATGCCCCTGTCTAATATATATTACTGATTCCACACTGTCGTACATAGCCCTTCTCCTAAAACTCAATGTAGATATGACCAAATTTCTTAACTTTATTCAACTATTTTTTTTTTATCTATTTATTTTTCCAGCGGAGAGACTCACTAGTGCAGTAATCACAGAACTTCTCGAGAGGAATAGTCAAATGCGCAGTAGTGAGTATAGACTTCGTCTGGAGGAAGAAGATAGAGCACTACAAGAAAAATTGCTCAAAACTCACTTCGAGAAGTCTCAACTTTATCGCAAGGAAGCTATCTATGGTACGCTTAGCTCCTGTTTATTTTTCAATTCTCAGTCGTTTATTAAAATTTTAGCAGAATGAGGATTGTTGCTTGCTGATTGATTTTCAGTTCAATGATTAATTCTCTTGTACAATTTTACTGTACATACAATGGAGATGTTGCATGTGTGAGGTTTTTGCGATTTGACTAATGATTCTTGTGTAAAAGTTTGCGAGAAACACCATGGTGCCACTGGTTTTCTCCGAAATCAACTCCAAAGCTCAAAAAAAGCTCTCAAGTTGAGGCCAAAATGGAGGGGATGTCCCACGCTATCCTGAGAGTCCACGTCTATATCAAGACAAACTCTCCATGCAAAGGTAGGGAGCAAATACATTGACAGGGTTGCCACTTTATTTCGAGACTCTAAAACTGAAAACACGGCAACCCTGCTAATGTATTTGCTCCCTATCTTTGGATGGATAGTTTGTCTTGATGTAGAGGTGGACTCTCAGGATAGCAAGGAATATCCCCTCCATTTTGGCCTCAACTTGAGAACTTTTTTTGAGTTTGGGAGTTGATTTCAGAGAAAACCAGTGGCACCATCGTGTTTCTTGCGATATTTTACATAAGAATCAATAGTCAAAGCGCAAATTCCTCACACATGCAACATCTCCATTGTGCCACGGGTTGACCAGCATACTTTAGGAGTTATTTCAAATTGTTTCAGGTTTAAATTTTTACAGTTATATTAGTGTGCACCTGCATGACATAAATTTCACAGATTTTTTAAAGAACGTCTTAAAATCAAGGAATCATCATTTGATCGATTGATTCTAAGGTAGAAAGGGTTAGAATCTAAGCACTACAGCATGTTTTTTTTGTTTTTTTTTTTTTTTTGGAAAATTCCATGCTGGAAATGTTGAAAACTTTCAAAATAAATTCAGAAGTAAGAAGTAAATGCTCAGTATTTATATTATATACATTAAATTCAGACCTTTCTGTCCATTAAAAAACCTCAATCAACTTTGCCCAAATTAGGCATTGAAATCAACCAATATGATAGGCAAATGATTAGAGCTTGGTCTTGTACACAGTTTCTTCCTCTTTTGATTCAAGTTACTTTTGATGTTTTATACAAAAAAATTCTTCCATCATAAAATATACGGAAATTTGCGCTTGATTTGATTTGAGTGGAATCTAAATTCCGAATTTTTTAAAGCGCCATATCTCAGTTAATATTGAACGTAGAAATTTTTGGTTTGGACAGACCTTTATATTTTTGGCCAATCTACAAGAATCTAGCATCAAAACACGATTTTGTGACCAGCGCAACTGACCCATTGTAAAATTGCCCCTAATCTTACCCTAAAGGACATTTTTTTTTGTCCCTTTCAGAGGCCATGTACAACTGTCTTGTAGCAGAACGCAAACTAGAGAAACAATTCTGTGATCATCGAGCTGCCATGACTGAATTGCAAACCAGATCTATGAAAAGGTAAAATGGTAGGGCTTCTTAGTGCAAATCCTGAGTAACCAACATGAATTAAAGGAAAAAGATAATAGAATTGGAAAATTGAAATACTCAAACTCACAAAATAAATTAACGTAAAGGCTGATGCGTCTCTAGACCTTGTAATCCCCTCTTCAAGGTTGGAATTTCGACTGATGACTTCGGTTGGAATTTCAACTGATGAAATCGGTTGGAATTTCGACTGATGAAATCTGTTGAAATTGGTGTGACTGGCTGATATTCTGCAATGCAATACTGTTTCCTTTATTTTACTTTGAAAGGGAGTTTTCTAATTTTCTTGTCTTCCTCGTAAATCCAGCTCACAGTTTGGTACCTCATTTTCTCTGTTTCGTTTTCATTTCTTTCAGTTTTGTAAATATGGAGTGAAGTCAGATGAGAATCTTCGCTTCTTTCTGTCAGGGAATATATTACTAATAAACATTTTTACCTCCTGTTTTAAGTTTTTGAACATTTTGAAATGGATCAGGAAGTATAAGGATCGAAAACAAATAAAGTTTTTCAGTAAGAGGTGGTTGGTAGAAAATTGAGAACTGCTGTTTGAATTAAACATGTTCACAGGTATTACCACTCAAAATTGCAAATGCGCACTTTTATTTTTGGGCACCAAATGGAATTTCTATCAGTAAAATAGAGCCTGAGTTAACGAATCATTATCCTATAGGCCAGTCTTTATGAACAGTAAATCAACTAGCAGTAGTTGGACGCCAACATCAAGCACAAAATTGGAGGCTCCTGTAAAAATTTCCTCCCCAAAGGAACTGCAAGTTATTGAATCATTCCTTCTCAACTTTCTTATCATAAAAATTTTGAGTCTTTAAGAATGGAACTTTTTTTTTTTTGTTGCTCGGTAGGTAAACATTTTTTTCTGTTGGTTTGATGGCATTTTAACTTCTTTTAGTAAGGCGGTGAAATGGTGCTGGGTCCACACCATCTCCGGAGGAAAACATAGCCAAAAAGTTCCAATAATTTCAACTAGAGTCAACAATTTTTGAACTCTAATGAGTACCAGTTTTTTTGGGGGGTTTTCCTTGTTCTGTTATAAGAGTTGTTCAGTAGCGACGGTAGATGGCGTGAGGATCACACTTTAGTGTCATGCCTCGTGTCATATTCATGACGTCGTTTTGATGCCGTCTTGGATTTTGCAGGATGTTTAGTTGGGTTCACGATGAGTGAGATCTACTGATGAGGTCTAAAAAGATCCAAAACGTTATAGATCTCTCGGTGTGACCTCAACTTAATATTCCAACGCAAGCTGCCTAATCTGAACTCATTAGAGCTCAAACATTTCTGACTCTAACCGAATTTTATGACTTTTTTTCCCCACAAAACCATTTGTGTGGACCCAGCACCATTTCACCACCTTGTTGCATACATTTCGGACCAATTATTACTGTTTTTCCTCGCTTCTTTTAATACTAATGTTCGTTTGTCTCACTTGAAAGTGAGGAACGGATGAATGAAAATTTGGAGGAACTGATGAAGAATCGGAGCTCAGAGTGCAACGAGCTGATCAAGTCAATCGAGCAAAATGAGGATCTTCAAAGGTCGGCCGTAAGCGCACTTTTGGAGCAATCTGATGTCCAGTCCTTCCGACTCATGCACGAAATCCAAAGCGTAGAAAAACAACTTGCCCAGGCTACGCAGCTTGAACTTGAAGAAAGAAGGCTAACAGTGCTGGGAAATATCGTGAGTTTTTATTTCTAACCTCATAGTGGACCTTCAGAAAAGGTGCCAATTCAAGCATCATGATATCTGGATACATGCAATCCTCAGTTACATAAACTCTAAGCTCACTTACTTCTTACAAATGTAAGGACAATTTTTCCGGAGCTGCACACTCCAACCTCATCTTGACGACTACCTCACGACTTGTCCGTCCACGTGATAAAGCTGAGGATAAAGTGGGCAGCTCCGAAAGAATTATCCTTACATTTGTGAAAAGCAAGTGAGTGAGCTTAAAGTTTATGCAATTAACTATTGGGTGTACCCATTGTTTTATAATATCTCTATTTAGAAAGATCTGTCCCCATCTACAATCATTATGTATCTGCTCTCCTCAGAATTCCACGCAGAACACGGTTTGTACACTGAAAATCACTGAAAGTAACTCTTAACCAAGATATTAAAGTTTGTTCATGCATGAATTTACACTTCCCATTTTTGAAGAAAAATGTTTTTCACCATGAATGACTCATGACTCCCCTGAACTTGATACAACTGTATATCGATGGCCAAAGTGCCAAACCACGTATTTCCTTTGCAGTGTTTCACAATCTTCACTTCTCTTTTATGTTTTTGTCGAGGAACAAGCCAACATTGTAGCTTGAAATTTACAAAAATTATTCCTCTAATAGAGTAGAAAAATCAAAGAAGATTTCAAGAAATTATATCAAGTAATTTTCCAAAGAAAGTTCCTAGTTCAATCATCAAAAAGTTAAGCAGAATCAGTCAAATTGCATTCACGTACTGTTCATTTTAAAAATTTCAAGTATGCCAGCAAAATATATTCGATCCCTTAACGATCGCCTACTTCCAGTTCAGAATTACTCCAAGGGAATTATACCAGGGTGTCTACTAAAACAGGCTGGCCAAAAATCAGTACTTTTACAGTACTTTTTCAGTACATTCCCAAGATATTCAGTACCTCGTTAAAAGAAAAATTCAGTACTTTTTCAATACCTCCAACTGGTGAAATTCGAAAAATTTCAAAAATTTGAATTTCCCGCTTAAATTGTTACAAGAATGAAAAAAATCCCAGACTTTCTTGCAAAATTTCCGGACTTTCTCAGTACTATTTCCGGAAATTCCGGACTTGGAGACACCCTGCATAATTATGATTTTAGATTGTTTCGAGATGTGGTCAACAAAATTTACTCTCATTTTTCAGGTGGAATTATGCAAGGAACGAGCTGCTCTGTCGCAGCTGCTCGAAGAACTCCTCAAGCAGCGAGATGAAAGGAGACTGCAACTGCTGAGCACAATAAATATACTGCAGAGTCAACACTTGAACAAGGTTCGATTCTTGCTTTATCTATCATGTAATACTTTGTACTACAGATGTATCTCCTTATAGCATTTTAGAGTGAGTTAAAAGTAGAAAGTTTTTTTTAGATGACTGTTATTTTGAAAAATGCTGTATGGAGTTACCTAAAACTGTGTTTTATGAATGTACTCGTTTTAGCTCACAAATTGGTTGCCTTTTCTATCTCAAGGACTTCAGAACAAAATGTTGTAGGCAACTTTGAAACAACCTTACTCCTCCTTACTCCTTACTCCTTCCTCCTTACTCTTGGGGAATGAAACTCCTCCACTCTAAATTGATTAATTGATTTAATTTATTAAATTTTGAATCAATTGAATTTTAGGATTGAGGGAGAATGGGTCTCCCTAGTAGCATTGACCCACAAATGAGGCCTCAAAATCCAAGAAGGCAACTTTGCAAGCCAGAAATTGGGTCATGGATCACACACTAAGCCACCATTAGCATGCTAATTATTGAAATTAGATATAAACAGACAAAGAAGACAAAGGGAAAATGGAGCAATCCTATTGGTTGAAACGGGAGGTTCCTATAGACTAAGAGAGAAAATGATGGACTAAGTACAGGATCTCGTGTAGGTTCCCGTTAGTTAGTCTATTACCCACCTCCTTTCTCCATCGCAACGACCCGTTTCCATCAATAGGATCGCTCAATTTTCCTGTCATTTTCTTTATCCACAGCTTTGTCTATTAATTTCAATAATCAGTCCCCCGGAAGAGGTGGAGAGAGATTAGATTGAGCCAAAAAAAGGTAAAGAGAGGAGATATTGAGTTTAAAGGTTTTAGTATGAAGAGAAGCTTTTTCGCAGATAGTATTGAAATTATTTGAACTTCATTCTGGAATAAAGAAGCAATATCACTACCTGACCCAAACAAGCACTTATTTGCATCAGGTGACTGATCGAATTAATTTTGTTTCTGAGACAAGCTAGAAATAGAGTGTGGTTCGACGTTGCAAAATGTCGTCTATTCGGCCATCCTGAAAATTGAAAAAAAAAACATTGTTCTTTGGAATAACTTTCGGGTTACTTCTATAGATGTCTTGAGTTTTAATCATGGAGAGTGTTGCAAATATCCAGCAGGGTTTCCCATGAGTTTTTCTTCTATGTTCAGTGACAATTTTCTTATGACTTGTTTTTAAATTTTTTATTGCTAAGTCTCGATTCATCCATGTTTCATTGGTCACAAAAACTTTTCCTCGTTTTCTTCACTTTTTTTTTTCATCACTTATTATTTTTGTAATTACGTATGTTAAGAATCTAGCGAATGATCCCGATTACTGGCTTCAGCAGTACCAAACCCTTTTGAGGCTACTGCCAGGAAACTTGCAGAAAGCACAACAGATGCTAGACGCTCGTCTGATCCATCAATTGGTCTTGGCCAACGCAATCCATTGTCTTCCATTCGTTGCTCACTGTGCCAACTCTATGGTGATTCGAGAAATTTCAGACCAGGATCTCATAAATGTGAGTTTTTTCACTGAATCAATAAGGCACTTGGATGTTTGTCATAAGTAGCATTGAAAAGGTACTTGGCTTATCTTCCTTCAAACTGTGAAGCATTTTTCTGCCAATTCGTTAAGCTGGCACGCCATTGAATTATTGCAGCACTAGGATTCCATTTACAAATTGAAAGCCCAAAGCTTTTGCTGTCAGTCAAGTGCTTAAAAATTAGTTCAGGGTGAAAAGGCATGAAAACAGAAAATTTGATATCCGTAACTGCAGTTTTAAGCCATATTGACGATTTTTACTTAGTTGTTATATTTGGTGACAGCTGCTGCTGGCTTGTTGTATCTGATGACACCAGGGGTCTATTCAAAAATAGTATTGTGAAAGCAGTGGAAGATGAGAAATTTTTCGACAAAGCGGCCAACGATTTTTTTTTGGCGCCGAATTTCTCGGCATTCCGCGCGTAGTTCTTTGACCATCTCATTTTGCTTTGCCCTCCACGACCTTTACCTGTTGAATTTTGGTTTTTCAGAGTGGTGTTGTTCTTGGCTCGGATCGTGCCAAAGTTTTGGAGGCCATAGGAAATTTCTTGTTGGAAATTGAATCGCCAGTTGTACCTGTCCTTGACGAAAGTATCGAGACTAACAACACTCCATCAGCGCCTCCTATGAATGAGTGCATCATCTGCTTCGAGAGAGAGGTAAGCCTCTTTATTGTAATATCCAAGGGTGGTTCCCACGGCGATGGCCAAAGTACAAAACGAGGTATCTCTGATAGCCTACGTAATATCTTGAACACTCTCTTGATTTTCCTTCTGTATTAGAATATTCTGCATAAATTTCAAGCTATTAAGTTGGCTCATATCGAAACCAAAAAAACAAAATAGGAGTGGAAATTTTGAAACACTGCAATGGAGATACCTGGTTTTGTATTTTCGCCTTTGATGGGTTTTCAGGAAGCCACTTGAAAGGTTTTACGAAGAAATAGTGGAGTTAAGGGGCTCTTACCAACAGGTGTTGCAGAATGGAACTGTAGACAAGGTACGAATTTCAGCATTCTGATGTATGTTTCCTCTTCAAACATGTAAAACACAAAGTATACATCGGAAATCACTGAAAGTAACTCCTAACCGAGATATTATCGTTTTTCGATGCATAAATTCAAACTTTCCGCTCATAGAAGAAACAATAATCCACTTGAGTTAAGTCGCACATTAAATTTTACCTCGTGACAGTCTTTACAGTATAAAAATATGACAATCTCAATATTGATGCTTCCGTTCAGTTGATGCAGATTGTTCACACTTCGAACAACACAGGGTGGGGCAGGGACACTGCTGAGTAGCCTGCTGAGACCATGCGCAATTTGTTTCATGTATATGTACTTTCGTTTTTCTCTTGAACGGTAAGTTCAAATTTTTTATAACCAACGATAAGTAAAAGCGTCAATATCTTGGTTTGGAATTAATGTCAGTTATTTTCATTGTGCAAATTGAGTTTACATGAAATTTTGAAGAGAACGCATATGTAGTAATGCTTAAATTTGCACCCAGTTCAGCGATCCATTGGCAAAAATGAACCATTGCCATGAATGTCAGTTTTACTGGCCAAGGAATTCAACAGACAAATAAATCTATGCGGCTATCATACTTCGACTTGGAGCTCATTCCCTATAGAGCTGACACACTAATTTGGCTCTCAATCCTTTTGAATTCTACATTATGTCCTTCAAATGAAATTTTGGTTAAATTTGAACTGAATCTTGGTCAAATATACCTGGAATTTTGGTGAAATTTTCACAAAATTTTGGTTTTCAGATTTCAGTGGTGTTCATGGAATGCGGCCATTGTTGCTGCTGTGATACTTGCACCGTGCCTTTAAACTGCTGCCCGCTTTGTCGAGCAGCCATCCATCGCAAAATCAAACTCCATTTAAGCTGAACTCTCCTGATGAATGTACCTAAATTTTCATATGTTACCTACCTTATCCAAGGCTGTTTTTGCACAATTCATCTTTTTACTCAAGTTTTTTCATTATTACTATTGTAAGCATGTAGGATTAAGAAATTATGCTAAAGATACGTATCAAATGCCTTGAATTTTGTTTGATGAAGATTATATCAACTGTAAAAATCAAAAATAACTATTTCAGTTGCAGTCCAGTAGCAATAACTTTTGATAAGAACCTTTTTGGCTGCTTTTAAATTAAAATTTAATTTTGAAAATAGTAAAAATCTTGAAAAAAAATTATTGAAAAAAGTAGTAGTTTTCAAACACTTTTTCATCTAATTTTCTCCAGAATTTAATTCTACCCAATAAAATACTTAAATACAGTTTCTTTTTATGCAATTCTTACTACTTCTTCGAAGAATTAGTATTTAGTGTTTTTCAACAGTTGTTGCTTCTAGGGCATGGAAAATTGAATCTGAAATTTGGAAGGGAGCCTTAGGAAATGTTTGTAATGATTAATATGAGATGAAATGATTACTTGATCACATGATAATTTTAACAATGACACTATGACAGTAAAATTTTTATTGCCTGTGCAAGGGAACTTTTTTTCTAAACGCTTAACTTTGTCTTATCCAAAAAATACGCTTTTAATCTGCAATATTACAGTATTGTCTCATATCTATTGTTTTTTAAAATATACGCAAGTATGCCTTGTTACATTTAATATATCCTTTTTTTTTCATCTGAATATCGCAAGTTTATTCCTGGGAGTCAATTGGGTACTGAATAAAGAAAGAGTGGGGGTCATTAAAGTCCAAAATCGGCTGTAAATCTCGCGGGGGGGGGGGGGGACTTTCCAACTTTAACTACTATGAACATCAAAAAGCTATCAGTTGAAGCATTAAAAAAAGAAAAATAATCCGGTTTCAACAAGAAACTTTTTGAGGTGCAGATTCTTTTGTACACATTATTTATTTTGTTTTTAAAGGAAATTTACAACCAGGAGTATCTAACTACAAATAGTCTTTACTCTAAAAATTCATATACAGCCAGTTCCTCAGGGGGACTCTGGACAGCCAACCTTAGAGTCAAATTCACTTTTGTCGAAGACTTGAAAAAATAAAAATTCCTCTCTTAACTTTAAATAAACTTTATTTCCAAAAGCTTCAAAAAACAAACAGTCTTTGATTAACATCAACCTCCAGATGGTGCTGCAAAATTTTTAACAGGACAGTCTTCATTTGATCTTTGAATAAAAGTTACAGCTTAAAGCGACAGAAAACAGAACAACTTGGCTGGAAATTAAACCATTGTTGCCAGATACTTCCAAAAATCAGCACTTTCCGCTATTTAAACCCTTTTAAAATATCCACATTTAACTGCTCAACTTGGCAACCTCCAATGCCACCCAGTGCTACAAAATCAGCACTTCCTGTTATTAAAACCCATGTAGAACATTTATATTTTATCACACAATCTGCTGGAGATCTTGAATTAAACTTAGCAAGAGGCAGCCAATTCTTCTGCAGGACAGTCTTTGACCATTCTTAAAATAAAGTATATTTCTGAAGGCATCAAAAAACAAAAAGCCTTCGCTCCACATCAAACTTTGTGTTACGCAACCAAGTTTGAACGTCCTGGCAAAAACCTTCAGGTCCACACAGAAGAACCTGATTGTTCTGTCGATTGCACACCTCTGACTCGATGGTCTCTTGATTTATTCGCTGGCACAGAATCGCTTCACCATGCCGTAGGTGCTGTGAGACTTCACTCCAATTCCTCTCGCCGCTCAGAAAAATTTTCGCTTTCATATTCCAGTTGCGACAGAAGTTACTGATCTCTTCTCGCAAGATGATACTTTGAAAGTTGGATACGGAGAATAAGAGTAATACTAGCGTTTCATCATCCTCGTTGCGCAGTATTGATTTGATGATGCTTATCATTGGCGCTAGACCAGTTCCTGCACACACCATTGTCAGGGATGAATACAGTCCAGGCGTGTGTTCAAAGCCTCCGTAAGGACCTCGAAAATAGACCAAGTCACCTGGAATATAAGATCAATCCATTTTATATGCCACTATCAAATGAGGCATTTTTGGGTAAAAAGGCGTATGAGACTTCCAATGCTGCAAAGATTGTGCGATGCACTTCTCTAGTTGGAAGTAACTTACTCAACAATTCCGCTATGAATTTTTCCCTGAATCTGTTCCGAGTTTTTCCTTACTATTGTGAAGTTACTTGTTTACTTATTACTTGTTGTTATTTACTTGTTTACAAAGTAAGTCGACTGTGAATGAATTTCAATTACCGCAAGTACTATAAAAATTGAATGATCTCAGCAGCATTGCAAGCCTCATCCGCCCTTTTACCGAAAAAGTCCTCAAATGTAAAAGATACTCTAGTATCAGTGATGATTCTGGAAAGTTGGTAACACTGTTTTTCATCCATAAAAATTATGTAAAATATTTGTAATGTATCGATATTTTCAATGGATTTAAATGGAGGAAAAGCAGTGTTGCCAAATTTCAAGAATTATGGAGAGAAAAAAACCTCAGCCGAGCAATTTCTGTTAATTCAGGCAAAAATACTGAAATTTCAGTTTTTTCGCAAAAAGAATAATTATTTACCTACATTTTACTCAGAGATGGAAAATTAAATTTCAAGTATTTCATCAGAAACTGCATGTGCAGCCAGAAGCAATCATCCAAGAATTCAATACGGCAAAGAAATTTGACTCATGATATATATATATGAGTCGCTTTTATAGCGCTCTTTGGCGCTGTGCGACGCCTAATCGCCACAAAGCTCGGTCTTCCCACAGGTCATCAGGGAGTTGACAATCTCTTATCTCATTTAACACCCCCTGTCGCCAACCTCTCACTGGGCGTCCCCTACGTCTCCTCCCAGGAGGAACCCAATCAAGCATCTTTTTTGGCAGCCTCTTTTCCGTCATCCTATTGACATGATTTGACTCATGATAATTTTTTAAAAAAAATTTCAGTGATTTTTTTTACGTGAAAACGTGAGGTATTAAAGTAAAAACTGTGTTCAAAACCCATATATTATTTTCAAGAGTTATTTAAGAGTTTTCTAAGAGTTTCATTCAACAATTATGGCATTGAAATTTGACCTCTCATAAATTTTAAATATAAAAATCCCAAAACGGGTTTCCTTCTTTGTAAATTTCAACAGTCGGTCTCCTGTAGAGTAGTGGTTGTAGCGCTTGCTCTATGCTCAGGAGTTTCCGGGTTCGATTCCCGGTCGGTGACCCGAGTTTGATGGTCTCAAACGATGGTTACCTGGGACTGGCTTGATTAGGGACAGAGAGGGGATGGGGCTCTAGGGATGGTAAAGCGCAGGATTATCCCTTGTCGGATACTTGAAGTGTAAAAAAAAGTTTTATTCAGGGTTTCTCGATTAAAATTTACAAGTTTTTCCAAGAGATTTTTTTACAGTCCCTACTACTAGGATACAAAAATATCAAGATGATTAATAGGGAATTAAAATTAGTAAGTAAATTAGAAAAATAAATTTGTAGATGACCTCTCTGTAGCGTTCGAAGCACTGAAGACATCAGCCCATTCTCATACAGCTTGATGACCGTGTCAAAGCAGCAGTTGTTTTCCTCATCTGCCAGACTGATAGGAGTGTATGCTCGGGAAATAAACTCGCTTTCCACCTCAGTTCTACCCAGTGACGTTTCAGAGCTTGTTGCCATATCAGACGATTGGAACCCAGAAGTCTTCAGACGAGGGCATCGCATGATAAGATGTTGGCTCGGCCGATATGGCAGATGACCTGAGATTTCAAAAGCCGTCTGTTCGTCAGAACAGTGACTTGCCGCAGATGCTTGAAATCTAAATAAGAAAATGTCCTGCGCTAATAATGAGATTTCAAAAATTCTGAACGGTTGGTACCGCAGTGTTGATAAAAGATCACATCTCTGTTTGTGGCTGACCGATGCTGTGCTACCTTCTTTCCACTTCCTCAACTCTGCTTCGTAGACATCGACGATACACGGCACACAACCTGATCCACAGCAGTCTGAACTGTTGGGTTTGACAGGCTCCATCGATCATTTCGATTTTCAGCGAAGAGATGCTCAATGTCAGGATTCCGATGAGTTGTTTGAATACGTAATTTTTAAACCGACAGAGTTGCAAAATAATGAAGAATGAGTTGCCACTTGAACCATCATGAAAACTTCTGGAAGGATTGGGGATGTATTTTCATGCATAGTACTTTCTTAAGGCAACAGTATAATATCGACACCACGCAAATGGGACTTAATAGTGTTCCAACAAAAACAAACAGGGAAGAAATACTGAAAATCCAAGGACCGTTTCGAAAACAAAATGAGAGAATTGTACAAAATGTGTGCTCATATATTTACACTTGCAAAATTGAAAATGATGAGGGTGATAACTGGTGATAACCAAGTAACCAACTAACCAAGTGATAACAACAGTGATAACCAAAGACATGAAGACGGAGCGCTCGTATCTAAAAGCACGGGGAAAAAGTGAAGCTAGGTTCGGCGCTGCGCGCTTGTGTGAGTGTGTAAATGAGCGCGGGAATCCATGGCGGCAAACGGAAATTTGATTTGAACTTGTCCTCTTGATTTTTCCTTATTTCTTCTTCGAAACGTGTTTTAAATGCTTAAAACGATTATATTAAAAAAGTTCGGTCTGCGTCCTAATATATTACACCTACTTTTGCTCGGTAACAGGCAGTAATCTCAGATAAAGTTAGTTTTTCTTCTGCTTATGGTGGTTCTGCAGGTTCAAACAGGCCGTTACAGTTCTAGATCTACGTTACTCCCAAATGAAATCAGTCGGTCGACGACGGACCGAAACTAACCTAAAGTTAATAAAATATGAGTGTGTACCTGAATTTGGGCAAAAATCAACCTAAAATACTTTGTTTCCGCAATTTTATTTATTAGTTCCCGCCCTACATTTGAATTCAAACTTGTCCCGATTTCGCCGCCAATCCTCTAGCCAATAGTAGAGGTGATTGAAAAGAAGCTCTAGAAGCTTCATTTTTTGCTTTTAGTGCTCCGTCTTTATGTCTTTGGTGATAACGAATTACTTCGATTGTTTGTAAACAAAAGAACATAACCAACATTGAACCATGTTGTCAACTTGTAGGAAGGAGGATGAAAGTCAGAAGTGAATAAAGCACAAGGAAAGACATGTCTTTGAGTGAAAAAGGGGGGAAAAATCGAAAAATCTTGTACTGAAACTTGAATTTCGAAGTTATTTTGAATTCACATCGAAACCTCAACATCTTACACTGCCTATTATTACTATCGCTGCAGGAATATCAGAGTATCCAATATTCGCGAGTCGCGGATATTCCGACCAGGCCCTAACGTTATTCCACAATTTTATTTGTCCATCTGATTTGATTCATCTTATGTTGAGTATTCACTCCCGCAGGACCATCCTCGAAAAATTTAGAAAAATGCAAGGTGGAAGGCTGGAGCAATGTTGATGAAATTCCCCATCACCCATACAAGTCGAGTCGCGGATATTCCGACCAGGCCCTAATGTTCCCACAATTTTATTTGTTCATCCGATTTGATTCATCTTATATTGAGTATACTCTCCCAGAACCATCCTCGGAAAATTTAGAGAAAATCCGAGGGGGAAGTCTCGACCAATGTTGCCGAAATTTCAGAGTATCCAATATTCGCGAGTCGCGTAAATTCGGAACAGGCCTAGGCGTTTCGTCAATTTCATTTTTTTATCGGGTTGGATTCAACTTATATTGAGTATACTCTCCCGGAACCATCCTCGGAAAATTTAGAGAAAATCCAAGGGGGAATAAGTCTCGACCAATGTTGCCGAAATTTCCGAATATCCAATATTCGCGAGTCGCGTAAATTCGGATTGGCGCGGGTGATTCCACAATTTCATTTATTTGTCCGATTTGACACATTGTAGGTATATTGAGTATACACTCCCTGGAACATCCTTGAAAAATTTAGAGAAAATCCAATTTGGAAATCTTGAGCAATGTTGCCGAATCGCCCCATCATCCATTCGAGTCGAGTCGCGGAATTTCGGAACAGGCTTTTAGGCGTTACGTCAGTTTCATTTGTTCATCCGATTTGATTCATCTTATATTGAGTATACACTCCAAGGACTATCCTCGAATAAAGAGAAAATCCAAGGGGAAAATCTTGAGCAATGTTGCCGTCTTCCCGGATTAGCGAAAATCCATAATTTTGTATAGATATGAAAAAGGCTAAGTCGTTGAGCCATTTTCTTGTGTTCATCTGGAGGAAGGCCTCCTGGGACCCCTCACTAATTTTTACCTGGTGTCTTTTTGCTCCATTTTGCTGCCATTTTAAAAGCAACCTCCAGGTAGATAGTCAATGGTGTTGGCCTTGAAACAATAATGGAATATACATAACGCATTCATACCCTTTAATGTTGCTGAGCAGTGTAGCGAAGTGGAAGAGACTATGAAAGAGCTTTGCTCCATCAATAAGTAATCTGGCTGTCAGGGAACTTTTGAGATATCGCTCATAATAATAAACATTGTTATCATCATTCACCTGTTGCAGTTTCTGGAGTGGATATATTAATCGATATCATCTTCATTAAATTTTTTTTTTTGATTTCCAACGAGTCTTTACTTTACAGAGTAACTGTTACTTTCATTTTTGTTTCGGTAACAGTCTACCACATGCTGAAGCTTTTTTTAACAAATCCAGATATTTTAGTTACTGAAAAAATTCTTGTATCAGAGCACTAAGAAGAAATAGTGTTTCAAGATCCAATTGCGTCCATGGAAAAGTTATTAACAAATCCTCATCCAGCTACCATAGACCCGCGGAAACTTGAGACTGATTGTAATATTTCATTCAACTTTTAATACCCTTTGTGAGCTACCGCTTCATTATTACCAAACTTGCATTTTCAGGGCTGGAGTTGAAAAATTTACCTTTTCATTGTAATTTTTGAACTAATAATTTCGAAGAAACGCCATCTCCTTTTTTTTTTAATTTTTCAGAAGAGCCAAAAAACTGATCGGAAAGTGAATATTTAGTGAAATCTTGAGACTGAAGGTTTGATACTGTGTATGATAGTAATGAGTAAATCCAGAGAGAAACCAGAAAAAATGAATTCTGGAACTGAAATAATAAAATGGGGATGGCCCCTTTTTTATATTATTTGCATTTTTCCATGTTTAATTCTACAATTTTCGCAAAAATAAAAGGACCTTTCTATTGTGCTGAGATCTTTCCTGAAAAATATTATCACAGTGTCGTGTTTTTTCTGTGCCAGTGCCATTGGAACACATATTATTGTGTGACAAAGCATATGTGAAATTAAATTCAAAAGGCAACATTTTTACTTAGTTGCTTTGTGTTGTTAGAACTACTGGACAGTTCTCTGTCTAGCTAAGAATGATAGGCAAATCTAAGGAACACAGCAGCTTATCAGTAAAGATAGAAAGTGTATTTTAACAACACTTTAGGTTGACTTCAAGTCTCTTTGCAGATAGCTCCTTTTCTAAATTATTGTTGAATTGGACCCCCTTGAATAATGTTTCGCAAGAAAACCAGTCGTAGGCGTTTAGGGGCTGGTTTGCGTATCCATTAAGAGAAGATTCCTTTAAGAAAGTAGTTTGTCAAAATTTCAAAGATAGCCCCCTTTCGATATTATCAAGTCTTTAAAAATCCCCAATTATGTATTATTTTTTAAAAGAGAACCAATTAAATTATCTCTTTAAAACTATCTGTGAATGGTTATGAATGAGTATGGGGAATTTACAGAAAATGTAAAAAAACTGTACTTGGGCTAGTTTCCTCTAAAAAAAAGGGACACAAGAGAGGAGATTAGTAATGTCACAATCAGAGTTACGCATTTTTTGACCTCGGCAATCAATATCTGGTTAGCATGAAGCAAGGAAAGATGTAAATGAAGACCTTTTGCATCAAAGGTACGATTATGAAATGGAACTAAGAAGGTTAGCCTAGAACGAAGCCCTGGCTGCAAGATTAAATGTATTCTTTATTGTATCTGGAATGTTCATATTTTAATATTATTCTTATTTCGGTTTTTTTATTTTCAATTGTTAACTTAAAGTTGCTTTAAAATTAATTTAGGTGACTAATTCTAATTTGTTTCAGTTGATGAAAAGAAGGAGAGGGTGGTTTCACGATAACTGGAATAATTTTGTCGCCGTAACAGACAACACATTTTTCTGTCATATTTCTAGTAAAAATAATGATAGCTCGAATTTTTTCGCATTAACCTTAAAAGGGTCCTATTATAACGCTTTCTAATGATTTATTGCTCTACTTCTCAATTAATATTATGTAAATTCCGAAAATAGACTGTCTGTTACACGGTAAAAAGTCAGCGTAACAGACAGCACATTTTCGGCCATTCATATATTAAAATTGAAGGGTACAGCAATAAATCTTTGAAAAGCACTATAACACATAACCCTGTGTAGATTAATGCAAACAAATTCGGGAGATTATCATTACTACTAAAAATATGCCCGAAAAATGTGTTGTCTGTTACGGCGACAAAACTATTCCAGTTATTGTGAAACCACTCGAGGGAGCCCTTCAAGCCATTTTAAATGCCAAAAAGAAGATTAGACAAGAAATTAGCGAGTACAAGGACCGTCTTAAAAATGCTGAAGAAACAATCACTAAATTCAAGAATGAAATTGGTAAGCTTAAAAGTGATAAACCAGCTGAGGCAACTGTAAATGATGAATTATAAAAAATTTCCTGTAAGTAAAGTTCCTACATTTATATGAACTCAGCTTCCTTAGGATTCTTTTATGTTAATCTTTTCCCCTTAATCATCATAAAGAACAAGGCCTCATTTAAATTCTCTCTGGTATTCCTGCATTGAAGTGAAATTGAGGGGCTTGGAGGTCAAGGCGCATTAGTGCAGTTTTTAAACGTTGAGATATTAACAATTTCAAGTGAAACTGGTCTTGATGCATATTTTGTGAAAAATTCGCTCCCAAATTCCTATTTTTAAACATCAAAAAGTCAGTTTGAACTTCCTTTCTGCCTTGAGGATCCATGAAATTTCGAAACTTGTAACAAGTACATTTTGAAATAGCAAAAACTGCACTGATGTGCCTTGTACTCCAAGCCCCTCATTTGTCATCATCAAAAATGATTTGATCCCAGGTGGTCAATGGAAACCTCTTAAACTACTTTCTTCGAAACGAGCAGAATTATATTTTGTAATGGACCAGTAAACAAGGCAAAAATTGAAGCGTTCTGATACATGGCTTTGAACCAAAACACGTTAAACACAACTTGCACAAAGGGACTTACTGAAATCAACTCCAAACTAAGATAACAACGTTTTTAGTTTACATTGGTTACAAGAATTTTGAATTCCCTGCTCACAAGAAAAACGATGGTCTACTTGAATCAAATCACACCTACCACAACAGTTTCGGCAGGCTTCTTAATCAAGCCATGTTCCTTCCTGCCTTGTATTGTTCTAAGTGTTAACTACGTGCAACAGCTGAGCCAAAGATCCAAAATCAAGGTTGCCATCTTTTCATACCGCAGAGACTGTTACAGTAACCCTTACTGCGCAATTGGTCTGAACTAGACTTTAATTTTTCTATGAGCGTAAGGTTTGAATTCACGCATCAAAAAATGTTTAACAGATCAATTAGAGTTAGTTTCATCAATTTCTGTTGCGTGAATAGGTAAAATTCTTGTTACGACATGTATCAGAATGTGTTAATTTGTACCTTCTAAACTGGTCCATTAGTGGACTTGCGACAAATTATGGATTTACTGATTTTCAACTTAGCATGGCAGCATACCACTGTGACCGCCCCCTCTTGATCCGCCAATGCTTCAAGTTTTGAAAAGCTCAAAAAGTTAACAATTAAAACTATTGTCAATTTTCAGTTCAATATAGGTTGATTGAAGTTAACGGGTTTAAAGTTACCCAACAGGGTTAAGTGTGATCAAAATCAACACAATTTCAATTGCATTTTCCTCAATAAATAGTACCTTGAAGAGCCAACCTTCTACAAAATGCTCTTCAATTTTTACTCAACTCCTCCCATCCAAAAAAAAAAAAAAAAATCGAATCTGGGAAACATAAATTAAATAAAATTGCATAATTTTTTGATATATAATTTAACATTAACAATATTATATGATACCTCAATAATAAAATTTAACAAATCAAAAATACATCATCAACATCTCATAGAATGATCCAACAAGGACAGTGATAGGTGACGTTGCTATGAAATGAACTTGGGGAAAATAATTATGTGTTGTCATCGTGGCTTGGAGCATAGAGATTTGTTTCAATGAACATAAGAATTACATACTAATACTGCAGCACAAGAGTTGTTGAAAAAATATAATTAATCTCGTTCATAACATAGTCATTTTAAATCAAGTGAAATCAGCCGCTCATAAGCATTATGGTAAATAGGTTTAGCATCTTACGACTTTAGGTTCCAAACTATTCAAATTTTTTCTTTGATCTTTTGTTTGAGATTAACTGCTAAGGTTTGTGGAGAAAAGCTACTGGTTTTTAAGGGGTACAGGGGCTGGAAAAAACAGCAAAAAAAAAAAAAACAACATCTCTGAACTTTCCTGCGTTTAGTATTTGGTCTGGCCTATTTGACTGGCTTAGAGGTGACCAATTTCAAATAAGATGCAGTTTACAGCGATAAAAAATTTAAGCACAGCTGATTGTTATGGTGCAAAAAGATGAATGCTGTATTAGATTTTTGTAGTTGTTCCCAACACACCCTGTCAATTGTAAAGTTGAGTTGAGGCTAATAAGAATGAAAATATTACAACTATTAAAACAGCAACTCTTGAAGAAGTCTCTGTCAGTTGAAAGATGCTACTACAGATTTTCAAATTAACCTACTTTAGAGAACTTTCTTATGGTTAAGACTAAAATAGAATTTAGACAAAATATACTCGAAATGGGGAACGGTAAATTGTTGAGTTCCAACCAATTCATAAACTAACAAAATTGTTTATACATGTACTTAAATTAAGCATTCATTGGAGAGACATTCACAATGTTTTCAGAGGCTTTAATTACACCCTCGTGCCACTGTTTAATTACAGCTAAAGCGAATTTTAGCTCATGCTTCATGGATGACTTTACTTTAAGACAACAAATCTGGAAAATTTACGTTCAATAAATGAGTTGAGAAAGTGCCACCATCATACTTTTTTAATACATAACTAGTTGCCAAGATATCAACATGAGTCCCTTTTGAGGAAAAATCATTCTCAAGAAAGAATTAAAAGGGCACCAGAATTGATTGACACCAAAGAACAGCAGCATTTGTTCCTCTCCACTATTGGGAGCCAACTTCTTCCAGATAATCTTATGATATTTTACCTAAAAATAAGAAGAGAAGAGAAATAGTTAGAACTCATTCAACAGAAGTTGCTTCAAAAGCAAAAAATTAGGATACCTGTAGCGACCCTGCATGGGAAACCAAAGGTATTCTGACTTGGCTAAATTTAATTATTATTCAATATTATATTCTTTGCGACTTTTTAAGCGCAATGAATTTTTGAACTTAAAATTTCAATATGCCGAGGTCGAGACAAGCAGGGCTGAAAAAATATTTTTTTGGCCTTTTCACAAGTGTTTTCCGATGGAGCTGAGGAATTCCTGGTTTAGGTGTAAAGAGGATACGCCTCACTCTGTTATCATTCGGAAAATTTGACTATTTTGTCTGTCTTATCTTCCTGATCAGCAAGGAAACAAAAGCTCTCCTTGAAGACCAGTTGGATGTTTCATCATATCTACTTAATATTGCAAGAAAAAATACAGAAAAATTCACTGTTTGGCCCTGCTTTTCTCGAGCCTGGTACATAGAAGGTTTGAGTTTGAGAGCTTGATGGCCAGATGTTATTCGAGAATCCTTATACGAAGGATCTCGATCTTTAAAAATCAACTATATTATTAGATCTGGAATAATCTTTTTTATTGTTTCAGAAGTTTGACTATTTATTTCATTCTTTTGAATGTATTTTTACTATAGATTAAGTCCAGATATAAGAACAGGATCAATTAGACCTCCTCACAAAATTATTCAAATGAGATTTATAGATATTCCCCTATAAAATACTCTGATCTTATTGATATCAGGATTTTTTGATGGTGAGACGGTGTCCAAGAGGTCGTAAGGAATATTATATCAAAAAACAGAATTTAGCAGATGCTGAGGTACTTGGTTTTCTGGATAGGAGCCCTTTTGACACTGAATTTCGGAGTCAATGTTGAGGTTCTGTTTTGTTCCATTTAGTTTTAGTTGTAAAGACATAACAACGGTGAAAGTCGGCAATCTCATAACTTGATTTGCGACGTCGCAGACTTACTGTCATACTTTATTTTTTAAACGGAAAACTACTCAACGGCAATTCCTTAAAACTGCCGTGATTTTTCTTTTCTGTGCAAAGAGAATTCTGCAAAAACTTTAAGGAATGATGTCAATTTGTTCTCCTATAAAAAAATAGCATAGAGGCTGAGATTTTCAGACACCGCAAACGAGATATGTGATCGCGGAATTACGCCGTTGATAAGCTTTGAATTGAGTATCGACACCAATACTGACTTTGATGGATCTATACCTCTAGAAGATAAATCAAAGGAAATTAGTGAATGTCTTCACAAAATAATCGATTGATTAATAGAATTGCTTCACTACTTTTGAAGCAGGGAAGTAGATAGCATTTTAAGAGCTCTGAAAAATTTCTTGCAACGTAGGAATAAATGCAAGAACCTAAAAACCTCATTTGAGCTGCATACTCATTTTGAATAAAGATCTATGAAAACAAACTAAAATAGAGGAGAAAGAGGCTAAAAAATATTTACTGGAGGAGAGGAACCTCGAGAAAACATAGGGTCAATTTCAAGAATTTAGGAAAAAACCTGAGGAACTCAGCTGCTCTGTGCCCCTGCCTGCCTTTACTGAATCATTGTCCTCTTCTGCCGTGCTAAGGAAGAACGCAGTATGAACATTCCAGAGTTGCCAAATTTTCTTCGATAGAATTATTATTTTTGAGGAATGTTATGAATAGTTTTCCTTTCAATGTTCAGAACCTGTAGATGCAATTACGAATATTATCTGAAAAAATTGGGAGAAAAATTGTCATAAGTTTACCAGAAAATTCGGATTTTATTAAAGGAAATTTGGCAATGCCTGAAGGTTTATGCAGCGTTCTTCCTTAGCACGGCTGTCTTGATGTGTGCGACTACCAATAATTACTAATTAGCCATTAATTCTTCAAGTTCAAAATCCACAACCATCGAGAAGATAATTATTGCATATCACAAGCTGGCCATCAAAATTACTATTTCGGCTAGATTGCCGATTAGCTTTGTCAAATCCGTGCTTCCCTCCTTGATCACAATTCAAAGTGTTAAATGGGTCAGTTGCGCTAGTCTCAGAATTGTATTTTGATGACATCAGATTACAGATCAGCAAAAAATGACAAGATCTGTCCAAAACCCAAGTTTTCTTGTCCGATACCAGCGGAGATATTCCTTTTCAAATAGCATGGCGTATGACGTCATCCATCACAGTAGTGGATACTATAGTTTCTTCCACCTTGGTTTCATCTATGATTTGAGTAGAGCTACCAATACAAATGTGTACATCACTAATTGATGAATCAAAGATGGACGGAACCATGGTGTAAGCTACCGCAGGGGATGACATCATACACTGTGTTTTTAAAAGTGCAATATTTCCGTTAATACTGGATGGAAAAACTAAGCATCTGGACATAACTGATTCCTTTTTGCTAATCTATGAGCTGAAACCATCAAAATGCACTCCTGTGACCAGCGCAACTGACCCATTACAAAGGATTCACCTCAATTAGAAATTTTAAATGATACAATACAAAAAGTCAGCGTCATTGACTCATTGTTAAGAGTCTGGGTAATACTTCTGGTAACAAGTCTTCGTTGAAGGCACCAAAATCCATACTCCTAATTAGCAGGCTTTTAGCTAATACAGGTCAATGGACTGCCACGTCAGTAAATTTACCCATGTCTGGTGTATTGATAATAATAGGCAGGAAAAATCTCGGTGTTTAATATGGCCGCAGCACATGATGATCTTCAAATACAAGATTTGATTAATTTCTGAAGCAGTCAAACTACATGGAGGTCTTACCAGCGAATACTCCAGCTGCAGATTTTGCTGCAGTAGTTGTTGATCCTTGCTCTTTTTCCAGCTGGCATCCTAGATACTCCCTGAAATAAAACAAAAATAAAAAATCGACGACAAAATTAATTAAGAAAATTTTACTTCTTAGGTTTGTGCGACAGGTATAATCCTAGACTCGAGTAGCAAAATATTTATATTCGCATGCAATAATCGTTTACCATTAACATGGATCTACTGAGAAACTAATACAGTGCTCTCTGTAGTGGATCTCAAGGGACCCGAAGATTCATCTGGTACAGAGAGACACCTACTGGACAGAGAGGGTAATACATGTGTTTAATACAGGAAAAGGCGGGTGAATTTATCCGTTGCGGAGTTTTCTGTTACAAAGAAAGAGAATTGCAGAAGATTGGGCAAAAAAGAAAAAGGAAAATAGTTGACATGATTAGCAGGTTCTATACCCCACAATTAGCTAATATCTCTTTTGTTAAGGTGTATAATAGTTTAGTTAAAGACAAACCAATATTTAACTAAACTCATTTTTCATAACAGAAAAATTATTATTTAATTGTTACATTATCTTTGATTGAGCTAGAAATTATTTAGTTAAAGACAAACCAATATTTAACTAAACTCATTTTTCATAACAGAAAAATTATTATTTAATTGTTACATTATCTTTGATTGAGCTAGAAATTAAAATAAATGCTGAAGTGTTAATAAATTTGTTAAATATAATTTTATATTTCCTTACCCTCATCTCTAATACTTAAAACGGGTTAGACAGTTTTTCATTAAGTGCATTATGACATGCTCAGTATCCATGCAGCTTTGTAGTAATCACCTGTATGTGTCACTCATGATTCAAAATGAAAGAAAAAATAGAAAATATGAGGAGCCAAAATGATTAAAAGACTGGTCAACATTAAACGTCGGCTTGCTCGGCATTAAACAACGGGTTTCCTAAATATTGCAGAAATGTATTCAACAAGTTTCATAATAAAACCACATGGAAGAATAGAATACTTGATTTCTTGTTGATGGAGTGAATTTTTCGGGTTGAGGGTTAAAAGTTCTGCACTCAAAGGACACAGAGATGTTCCTTCAAAGACAAAACTAATGATCGGCTTTAGTCGTTGAGACAATACGTCCACCACAAATATGAAGTATTTTCTCAAATAGGTACTGGGATCAGTATGAACGAATCATTTCCCGAAGCATCACCATCACTCTCCAGATCACTAAAATGTTGGTAAGGGCCGCTCACAGGTCTAATAAAGAGGAGTGAGAAAAGAGAGAAATGCCTAGATTTGAATAGATAAGGGAAGAGCATGAAGTTTTCAGTGAAAGGCGCGTATTTGAAACTTTGATTTTAGATTGAAAAAGAATTGAAACACAGTTGTCAAGTTGTTTCAACACACTATCCTCTTGCTGAGGTTTTCAAAATAACATTGAACTGAAACAAATTGCTTCGAAGGTTTATAAAATGTTTTATTTTTTCAACACCTAAAGTAGTTAGCAAATTGGCAGAGGGGTGACGACTGTCACAGTTCTGGTGCAGAATCCATTTGCTGTATGTGAAGTTATAACTCTGACCAATCTATCTAATCCTGGGTGACACTTAGCAATTTCTACTACTTACCAGTAGATAGGTGGTAAAAATCTGTCATTTACTGTCACTTCTGTCATAGGTCAAAATTAAATGTAATATGACAATATTTCCGGAAAATTGATCAAAATGTAAAGTTGAGAACTTTTTTTGAGAGAGAAAAAATAGCCAGATGTTATGGTACTAAAAATCAGATACAAACATTTTTTAGGGAAACTACTTAGAATAAACCTCGATTTTGAATAAATTTCTGGTTTTGTTTAGTTATGGTAACATTGGAATACTACTGTATCATCATGAATTGGCGATGTTTAAAAATTTCGGAATGATAACGGAATTTCGGAGCGTTGATAAGATTTGGGAACTTCCAACTCAAAACCTTGTCCGCCTCAAAACCAACTAAGTTGTCATTCATCAAACTGTTAGAATGTCAGCGCATGTAAATCAAAACTTCTCAGAAGAATTGTTTTTAAATCTTGATTTAATTTAAAAATTGTCAATTGTTACTAACTGTTTGCCTCGCTGATAGTGACGGCCGTATTCACCAACATCAAAGGATGCAATGCTGAGCACCAAAGCATCCTCAGAAGTATCAAGTAAATGGACCAGACAGCGAAGAAGCTCATAGTTGTGCTCATTCAAACGTGCTGCATTTTCTCCCCAGAACTGAGCAGACCGGTGGACTGGAGACCACTCTAGTCGCCCACATTTTACTTCAGTGGCATCAAAAGAACTATAAGTAAAAATGAAAAAAATTATTTCAAAGTACAGTATTTACTTTCTTGATAATAAATACCACACTCACTACAGACAATGGTCTTCCAAAAATAAACTGTGAATTATCACTCTTTTAGGTGGAGAAAATGTCATTAAGAGACTTTGTACTTCAATTTAATGATATATGAGCTACTCTACTGTACTAAGGAGAAACATCGTATGAAAATTCGAGAGTTGCCAAACTTCCTCAGATTAAATGTTCATATTTGAGAAGATTTATGAATATTCTCTCTTAAAATTTGCAGCTAACTAAGGTCCGATTGTGGATTAAATTCTCTGAAAAATTGGAGAAAAAATATTCACATATTTCTTTGTATTCTATTAAAGGAGCTTTGGCAATGGCTGATGGCTCATACAGCACTCTTCTTTGACACGGAAGTATTTTTTGCCTCCATTCTTAGCAGATGATAACTTCAGAATAACCTGTTGAACATTTTACAATGCAAGTTGGTTGATCTAAATCATGTTTCAACAGATTATTCACCAATTTCATGAATCATCACTAGGCAAAAAGTAATTAATGATTCCCAAAATGACTTTTACTCTTTGGGAGGATGAAGAGTGCAGCGTCTCTAAAAATGTTGTCTCGGCCTAGCTTTACTGACCGTTGTTATACACATGGGTTACCAAACCGGACTTTTTTGAACCCACATTTAAAATACATAAATTTTACAGGCTATACTACAGTTGTTAATTTTTTCGGAGGTGCTTCACCACAGGAATACACTTCTCCCCACCCATAGTTCTCCTGCAAGATGTGGTGTATGCAACCACTGGGGAGAAAGACCAGTAAATACACCCACTCACTTGTAGAATGCCGAGTACTTTAGTGGGAGAGAAAATAGAGTTACCACATACCTTAAATCTTGAACGGATGCCTGCAATTTTTTGTTGAGAAACTGAATATCTTCTACAATGTCTTCATCATCGAATTTGTGTTCTCTGTACCATTGCGATACAATGTTCGTTTGCAATGTTCGACTCTTCTGGTTTCATGATTAAGTTCTAAAAAGCGAATAAAACAAGAAAAAAAAGAAATTATTAATCATCTCTGAACAGGAAAACACACTTTAAAGTTGTTTAGGGATTATTGTTTGTTCTTTGAAAAACAATGAGTTGACACTTTAGGTTTTTGAAAATTTTTTATTGGGGGAAGGAGGGGGGGGCGGTTGTTCATCTTTCACCAAGTTGAGGGGTATCTCAAAAGTCATGTCACCAACCTTCACAAATAAAGCCAGCGAATGTGGATTATGGGAGCTTGAAAATCACTTCATTGGCTTTGAAATACTAATTGGTTGAGCTCTTTAGGTCAGAAAC